ATCAGAGGAGAACACCATTGAGTTCATTTGACAGCCTTCAAGTCTTTCTTTCCTTAAAATAAATCTAGTCTGTGAAGATTCTGGGGTCTCAGAGGACCTCTTCACCAACTCCCCACTGATGTACCCGTGGTTTTTATCACAACACAAAGAGGGAGGCTGACGGGCCACCTGTGGATCACAAAAGTCAAAATTTAAGAAAGAAAATAAAGTGCAGACACACGCCACAACACGGATGAACCTTGAAAATGTTATGCTAAGTGAAAAGAGCCAAATACAAAAGCCTATGAAGTGTCCAGAACAGGCAAGTCTGTCCGTAGAGACAGCAAGTAGATTAGTGACCGCCTAGGGCTGGCGGGGTGCTGGGGGTCAGGAGGTGGCTTTTCTTTGTGGGGGGAATACAGTACAAAAAGCCATGAACTTGCATACTTTAGATGGGAGCATTGTATGTGAATTATATCTCAAATAAGCTGCTAAAAATATATGAAGGAAGAAAAAAGTCATAACCCACAGTCAGCAAAACGAGCAGCTCCCCCCGAGGAAGATCCCTCAGCCACCTCTGCCTGGCACTTGGTTTTCGGTGTTTGTTGTAAGCCTGCTTTGTGCTCTTCCCATCCATGGCCGCTCACTCTTTACCCTCACTAATTAGCTCTTGAAATTTTTATTTAATAACGGTGCCATCACGGCTCCCCTCCTTCGCCTTCTCGGGTGCCTTTGTTTCTTTTCCTGCTTTCTCAATACTCCGCCCAACTCCGCTTGTCGGATCCCGGAGACCGAAGCGATCCAATAAGTATTGTCTGGAGGTGATTATTGCTTTTGTTCACTAATGAAATGTTCACAGATGCATTCAGTGGCCATTATGACACGTTTCCCGGAACCTCTTGGCTTCCCATGTGCAGTAGACGGCAGGGCTGTCCTTGGAGCTGACTGTTTCTGTGAGCCTCGATTCTATGGCGTGTTCGGTGCCCACCCAAGGGAAGGTGCAGCCTGTCTCTCCCTCCCCCCACCCCGTTTTCAGTCTTGCCGAGACCCACAAATTGGTGCAGGGCGTGAGCGCTGGCTCCCTAAGCTCACGAATGAGCTTGTTTGGGTGGAAGGGTTCTGCGGGCCATTGAGCCTCCCTGGGTCTCGTTGGTCAGTCCTCCTGATAGCACAGCCATTTATTCATAAACAGTCCCATTTGCCCCATAGAATGTACCCATGACGAGAGCTGCTGCTTCCGTCGTTTCGAGTTAGCAGCGACCCTGACTGATAAACCTGACAGGCCTCTGCCTTGTAATCTGTGCTGGAAAAACGTCCTCAAAGGCTCTGTTTGCCATAGCTCAACACATAAGGAAGCCTTACTTAGGCGCATACTACCTCCTTAATACCACCTGGACACTTGAGCCTTTTTCGGAAGGTCACGTTTTGTGGGTCTTGTCCTTCCTTTCGTCCAAGTGGCATACCTTGGGGGGAGGAGAGTGAGCCAGGACTTGTGATTTCATTTTCCCTGATGGATGCACATTTAAAAAGTGTCATGAGAAGAACCCCCTGGCCTTTTCCTTTAGACAGCAGGATGTGGCTGAAACATGGCGCCACCGTAGAACAGAGCGGGTGCAGAGGCGGGGACCAACGTACGGACAGATCTGAGTGCGAAGCCCAGGCTGACAGCGGAGCAATGATTCAACTGGACAGTTAGCAGCTCCGGATAATTGTTAAGTCTCCATGCCTCCACGTCATTGTCTACAAATGAGGATAATGATGCTGACCCCGTGATGCTGTTAGGAAGTCAAATAATGTCTGTGAGATACTGTATGTGCTGTCAGGCACATGGAAGATGCTCAATGAATAGTAACTTTCTGTTAATAAAAAGTCCCGTGTTCAGACTCAAAGGGCACTCACCTAGGGGGCACTCCAAGGGCAGCGGTGAAAGAGAAGGCAGGAGTTGGACGTGCTGGGAAGCTCGGAATGAGCTAGCCCGATGGGACGATGATAGTTATTTTGAAAATTGTTCCGGGAGACCCCAAGCACCCTGCCTTGGTCCAGGGAAATCCCCGCTGGTCTCTCAGTCCCCTTGTTCCACACCGTTCGCACTACCTCTGCTGTGTGGAGTACGGGAGGGGACAGCCGTGTCTGCACGTCTGCATGAGCCGTGACTGAATGAGGCATCTGGAGGGGGACCCGACCGACCACGTTGGAATTTAACGGGAGCATTTGCGACTCTGACCCACACGAGAGAGCAGCCGCCTCACCTGTGCACCAGGTTCCTGAGTGAGGCCTGGGGAGAGCTGTGGAAAGTGCATTCCTGTCGGGGGTCCGGCGGGCCTTGGTCACGGCCGGTGTCCTCTGGCCGCTGGGGCAGCGCTCTCTCTCTAAGGTGCCCCGCCGTCTTGTACCTGCCTTGTCTGCGGGACCCAGCCGGGCCCCTGACCGATAGGGCTGATGCGTGTAAGACTTGGAGGGAGCCTTTCTCGCCTGCTCGCCTGTGGCTCAGTGCTCTGTGGAGGACAATGCCCACTTCCTCGGGCAGGGGACTTGGGGGTTCAGCTGACGCAGCTGGGCTCCCTCTCCTCCCTGCCCTTCCCGAGGAGGTCTGATGGAGTCGGCTCTCTCTTGGCAGGGCACGGGAACTGATCATTTCTCCGGGCCCTGTGCCTCCCCGGTGCACTCTGGGAGTTGAGAGGCACTTTCCCAGAGTTGCCAGCAGTTCATTTCGCTTTCATGCATCACGACGTGTGCCCATTAGGAAAGGTAACCCCCATTTTACAGGGGACAGCGATGTGTCACCTAGGGCGACCCAGAAATAACCAAGCTGTCCCTCAGCCAGCCTGTGTTTTGACTCAAAACTGTGACCTCATTTGAACATCCATGAACTAGTTCTATCCTTCAGAAATGATTTGGGATAAAATTGTTTCCACTTTTAAAAATTATGTGGCTAAGTGGTCCCTTTTCTATTTTTTTTTTTGTTCCCCGTCAAGAGGTTGAGTTCTCCATCTTCTCTTCCAGCAAAGAGATTTATTCTCGTACGCTTTTAAACACGGTTTCTCTGAGGCCAAGGTCGTGAACGAACTTACTGGCGAGAACAAAAATAAATGTTTGTTAAAAATCTTAAAAAAGAATTTAATAGGTGCAAAGACTCCAGAGAGGAAGGGCGTTAACAGCCGATGCATGTGACTTTTCCTGTCCCTACAATGAAGAGAATGAGCTTTTAACGTGGTGTCTTATTTTTACGTGACTGTGACCCCAAACCAGTCCTTTTAGTGGTAGGTGTGGGACATGTCGTTTGCTTTTCCAGCAGTTTAGATAGGCTTTTGTTTTTCTTGGTGGCCATGATGAGAACGCCAATGAATAGAAAGATTTCATGGGTAAGATTAGTATGCCTTTTCCCCCTATGTGTGTATTAGTTGATAGCAGCTTTCATTCCCCTTTTTAGTTCTACTCCTGCTTGGTGTACCCCTTCCTTGCGGAAGCCAGGGAAGAGGCTCCCTTCCTTTCTCCCACCGCTCCGTAATTGGAAATTTGGTAACTGCACTAAATTTAAAGTTTTGGCATTCATGTGGAGCATCCATCCATCTGCTGGCGAGACACACTGCCCGGGGCTTTTCAAGAAATCCCTTAATAGTCCTGAACACTAATAATATTTATATACATTACGATGAGACAAAATTTACAGCAGGCTTCTGGGGCTGGCTCCAGGACTCGCTAATCCCGGACTTGCGCGCGTTCCCCTGCCGGCCTCCCAGGGTCCTGCGGGCTGTGCGGCAGCCGCCGCGTACGGGCCCCCACCCCGGAGCGGCCGGCTTTGCCCGCCAGCAAACCAGGCGCCTCTCCTTTGGAGCTCCCCCGCTTCCCTGTCGCATCTTCTTCCCTGGAGTATTTGATGCATGTTGTGCTGTGTTGACGTCAGGTGACCTACAGGAACTCCTTGACTTGTGACCCCTTTAAGAGGAGGTGTCCTGTCTCTGAAAGACAGGTCTTCCCTCCTTCAGGCCGCCCTGAAATTCCTTTGCAAGGAGCTCCCCTCGATGAAACAAAGCTCTGGCTCTGCCCTGTGGTTCCATGTGACACGCCCCTTGGGGGAGGGGAGGGTCTCTGTAGACCACTCCCCGGAGTCCAGTGGAACGGGGAACAGACGGGGAATGCAGACTATATCTTTGGGCGCTTCGTCACGTATCTGTGGGTTTATTTTTCTCCTACTGCAGATGCCCACCATTTGCATTTGTGTGTCACCGACTCCCAAGCAAAGGGCACCCAGACCTTTTATTTTCTGTTCTGTGAACTGCCCTTGCGTGTTTGATGCTCCGTGAACAGCTGTGCGGAGGGAGTGTCTGTCACCCGCCATTTTCTATAGCATTGTATTTAAATTGTAGGTGGGGGGACAGGCTGGGGGGCAGGGCCCGAAGACCTTTGATAAGGATACCCGCAGACGCAAACTCTCCCACGGCCATTTGGTAGACATGCACAGCATCGCCTTCACTTGCATTCTAGTCTGATCATTCTTAACATAATTGGGCATTAGTGCGCACTAAGGCTTTTTACGATATTTCAGTGAGGGAGAATTAAGACATTTGAAGTGCAGAATGGGCAGATAATCCGCCTTGTTCGCATGGGGCTGCTACATTATCACACGCACCTCAGGCAGCCTTCCGAGGGGGGTGGTATGACCCCCGTGTGACAGAGGAGAATAGAATGACGAGGTCATAGAGCTAATAACCCGGCCAAGGCCCGGCAAACAGCCAGTGCAGAGCAGAGGCTGGACTTTACCCCCTGCTCCCCTGACTCACAGTGCGGAGTGTCCCCCCGGCCTGGATGGAACCCGGAACGGGCTCTGCAGCGCTGCCATCGTGCACCGAACTGGGTCGCAGGGCCCAGTGGTTTTCCTCTGGGGGACTTCCCGTGTGGTGGATGGGCGCGGTTTTGGTCACGGGACCCCTCGGGGAGGGGATGACCCAGAGGACTGGCGGGCCCAGGCGAGGGGCTCGCCGGCTCCGCCCCGTCTCACCGCCGTCCCCTCCGCCCCACAGTGTGCCCGAGCGCGTGCGGGAAGCGGGCCTGCACGGAGAGCAACGAGTGCTGCCACCCGGAGTGCCTGGGCAGCTGCAGCGCGCCCGACGACGACTCGGCCTGCGTGGCCTGCCGCCACTACTACTACGCCGGCGTCTGCGTGCCCAGCTGCCCGCCCAACACCTACCGCTTTGAAGGCTGGCGCTGCGTGGACCGCGACTTCTGCGCCAACATCCTCAACGCCGAGAGCAGCGACACCGAGGGCTTCGTGATCCACGACGGCGAGTGCATGCAGGAGTGCCCCTCGGGCTTCATCCGCAATGGCAGCCAGAGGTGAGGCCCGCGGCCTGGGGGGCGCGCAGCCCTGTCCGCGGGAGGTGGAGGGGCCCTGCCCATTGGCACGTCGACGGGGCGGGGACCCGGGGGGGGGCGGGGACCCGGGGAGGGTGGGGGGCGGGCCCACCTGGAAGGACTGGCCACTGGCAATTTTTCTCCCTTTCTCCGCCCCCAGTCTGTTTTACATTTCGTTCTGGAAGTGGGCTGCCTGGCCCTTTGCACCTGCCTCACTGGCTCAGGTACCGCAGGGCACCTCTCCCTGAGCACTTGCTTGGGGGCTGCCGCCCAAACAGGGGAGCCTGCAGCACCAGCCCCATGGAGACTTTGGGGGCGCCAGGGGGAGGCAGGAGAAGCCGCGCGCAGCCTGAAGACATCTCTTTGTCACCAGCAGGCATCCTGTGTCTTAACTAGCAGTTGCGAAGCCCAAGCAGTAGCTTAGAAGGACCTACACTTTCCCTCAGCACCTTCTCCTCTCTCTCACCTGCTTTTCCTTGACCCTTCCCTTCCGTCTTTCTCTCTGTCCCTCATTTTTCTCCCTAAATGCTGAGACTTCACTAGGGAAGCAAAGAAGTTCCTTATGGCAACAGGCATCCCTCCATGCACGCCAACTGGGCTTTCATAGAATTGTTGTTGCTTTAGCTTAAAAAAAATAACAACCACCAAGGCTAGCATTTTTAGACTTTGTAGAACTATAACGCTAGAAGCACAAGAAGATCAGAGCTTGGGGTGGCCCGTTGCTCCTCTGGAGCCAAGCGGGGAGCTCAGGGAAGGGCAGCTCAGTTGTCACGGGCCTCTGTCATGACTGGCACCAGGCGACCCTCCGTGCAGGCTCTCCCACAAATATAAAACACCGTTCGAAAAGTGAACGCTCCTGTTGAATATGATGTGAAACGCTCATGCCTTTATTGCATTCTGTGTTTGTGAGCAGTTCCTTTCTTTTTTTTAAAAAATATTTTATTTTTTTTTAGAGAGAAAGGAAAGGAGGGAGAGAGGGAAACAGCAATATATGGTGGCCTCTTGCGCGCCCCCTACTGGGGACCTGGCCTGCAACCCACACATGTGCCCTGAGTGGGAATTGAAGCGGCGAACCTTTGGTTCACAGGCTGGCACTCAATCTACCGAGCCATACCAGCCGGGGCAAGCGGTTTCGATTAAGTCTTTAGAAGAGGGATTCTCATTCCTGTGTCATATCTGGAGGCATTGCTCATACCATAGGTTTCACTTTAAACCAAAGGTAAAACTCACATTAGCCCAGAATGTTGGATGTAGAGCCACTTCCTTCCTGTTATAATTTCTATAACCATTATAATAATAAAATTTATTCTAAATACTTGAAAAAGATAAATGTGCCAAGGCTTGTATGAACTGTGATGTGTCTGTAATCCACCCAAAATAAGCCTAACACGTTTTGCCCACGTAGCACGAGCAGCCTTAGAAGATGACAGGGCTTTGCCAGGGCGCGGAGCAGCCTGGGACCAGACAAGGCTCAGCCGCAGTTCCTCCCGGGGCGGGGGTCGGAGGGCCGCTGCTCCGTGAACGGGGGTCATGCCACCTTTGCCCCATGGCTGCATTTCCCCGTGGTGTCGTGGGCGGACGGGGCGCCGTGCATTTCCACAGTATGTGTCTCCCACTGTGGTGCCTTCTTCGGAGAACTGAGCCGTGGTCCCCCGTCCATTCGTACCGCCTCTTCCAAGCCATGGGGGTTGCTCTTCCACTTGAAAATAAAGCGCCCTCAAGAAAGAATACCCCCCCTCAGCCTGTAAGGCCTATGGAACACTTAGTTTAAAACATTCTTAATACTGTTTATTCCCTCTTGGTGCTAGAATGGAGTTGAGGAAGCTTAATCTATAAACATAGAATCAGAGCGCTTCCTTAGGAAAACACTTTAAACTGCCGCCTGATTCCTAGGTGTCTTTTTCTTCCCCAAACATTTATTTATTTTATTATTATTTTTTACCCCCTTTAAAAAATTATATTTTTCAACTACAATCGACATTCGAAGTCCTAGATATTATAGCAAAAAGTATTTGGTTCAGAAATTGCTGTTTGAATGTAATATTGGGGGCAACTTGAACCTACATAGGACCCGGAAGTTATGCTCCTGGACAGTTGTCCCAGAAAAAGGAAAACTTGTGCCCACACAAGAGCACGGACGACGTTGTTCATAGCAGCTATCTTTGTAATAAATAGCCCCAAACTGGGGACCCCTCGGCTGTCTCACACTAGGTAAATGGCTAAGCAAACGGCGTGCGCCCACACCAGGGAGTGTGATTCAGCAATAAAAGGGCACAGAGTATTGAACTGCAGAGCCACTCGGGTGGATCTCAAGGATGTTGCCCTCACGGATATTGCTCTCATCTTAGAAGGTCATGTACCGTATCAGTCCATGTGCATGACATTCTCAAAATGACAAGTTACAGAGACGGAGGGGAGCATAGCGGGTGCCAGGAAGGAGCTGGGGACGTTGAGGGCGGGTCCCTGAGTGGGTGATCTTGGTGGACTTCCTTTCTCCCCTGCCCCCCTCCTCCCTTCCTTCGGGGAAGGGAGGGAGAAAGGGAGAGAAACATTGATCGGTGGCCTCTGATGTTAGAGACACGGGAACTCTCCTTTTCTGTGGTCAGCCCTGTTTCCCCGAAAAGCTTGCCTCCCATTCTCCCGACACGAAGCAGGAAAATACCAGGGAAATTTTTGCTCGCCTATAAGCTTTTAAACAAAACACAACGCTGCATCTTTACCTAAGATGTGCCATAAAATTCCGGCACATGGGGGGAAGGACATTAATGAAAACAGCAGTAATTTACACTGTTGTCTTGAATGCTTTTTTTTTTAATCTTCCTAAAGTTTAAAAGATCCTCCAATGCTTTTAAAAAAAGAGCATTGGAGGATCTTTTAAACTTTAGGATATAAATGTAATGGCCCTCCAACTCACCATCCTATTATTTACACATCCCATAACGTTGTATCATTTATTCAGTTTGGAAATCACCTCAACTTTTGATCCGTGCCCTGCGGTTTAGCAGCCAGATCAGCGTTTTGCTCGCTGTTTCCTAAGTAGTGGCAGGTGAGCAGGACCAGGACCCGTCCCCGGCTGGTTGCGGCATGTGGCATGCCCGTGGCCGCATTTGTTTGGAACAGGAGCTCATCACAGAGCAGTGGAAGTTCCCTGCTTTTGCTGTGTATGCAGCGAAAACAGCGTTTGGATCAATTTACAAGTTTCTGCAAAACTCTGTCAAACAATTTCAGTTGTGCTTTTAGCAAGAGAGCGATGGAGCTGTGCGATGCCACCTGCCATTCGGAACCCCCTCACCGGGCTTTCCCGGGGACGCTGGCTCCTTCCAGTGGCAGAGACGCTGATGTCTCTCTGCTGCTGCCCCATCCAACCTCCAGGGGGCACCAGGCAGGAGCCGCGACAACTGAGAACAGCCTTGCTCTCCTCAGAAGCCCCTGGTGCTTCCTCTCCGCGAGGCTGTTTCCCCGACATGGGGCCAGCCTGCTCACCGGCCGCCAGCTCCGTGATGCACGCGTGCTTCACGGATGCATCGCGTGTGTTGTCTGAAATAAGCAGCACGCTCTTCCCTTTGTTTGCAGTCTGTGTGGCTGACCCTGGGTGGGCTTGGAGTGGGTTACAGTGTGCTCACTTCAACGCTTCAAAACAGTTGGTGTCTTTAATGTGTACGACTAGCATAAAAACAGGTCCTTACGGCTTTTTCAGTGCAAGGAGACACTCTGACCTCTGTGTTTGTGGTTGGCCCTTTGTCTCCCACAGCATGTACTGCATCCCTTGCGAGGGCCCTTGCCCCAAAGTCTGTGAGGAAGAAAAGAAGACGAAGACCATCGATTCGGTGACTTCTGCTCAAATGCTCCAAGGCTGCACCATCTTCAAGGGCAATTTGCTCATTAACATCCGACGGGGCAGTAAGTATTCCCGGAAGGGGCGGCTGGATCCCTTGGTTTTCTTGCGTTGGTGCTTTTTCTACCCATCCGTGACTCACACCTGAAACGCGGGCCTAGAAAAACAACATGGTGCGTCAGCCTTGGGCTCAACACCTCACCTTTGCGTTTCCCCAGAGGAAAAAAAAAAACCCACAGTGAAAGGCAGTGTGGTTTTTTATTTTTTTGCCGTTGGCCCAGAGTCTATTCCTGCGGAGGCTCATTCCTCATCTTTCTGTGAGTCGCCTCTTACGCAGGAGTTGCGTGTTGGGGTACACAGACCCCAGGAGGGACGATGGGTCGGAGGTGTGACTCACACCTCCGGTGGGAGCCAGATCCACACAGCTTTTGGCCCAGAGGGTTTTGGTTCCTTGGATGAGTTTGGGGAGACTGGGCAAAGGAAATAGTTACTGGTATCCCTTAAAATGTGATTAAGTCCAAAAGAGTGGCTGATCTCCAGACTGACCTCTGAGAGCCAAAGATTTGTGCGTGTCCTTCTGTATTTAACGTTTTGGTCTCCCCCGGCACAGTGCCCCCCCTACCCCCGCCCGCGGCCGCCCGCCTGCAGGGTGAGCATGAGGTATGGTGGATGGCTTTCCTGGGGATCGCATTTGTGTGAAGTAGGCCCTGTTGACTTATTCGTGACATCTTCACTTCTGATCTTTGACGGACAAGGCCTTCTAGCAGTGGTGCCTTAAATCCTCCACAGCGGGACCACTTGGTCAAGGTCCTCCTGGTTTCATAAGCTAGAATAAATATAGCAAGAAGACCTTGAGGTTGAAAAGGAATTTTTTTCCCCTACATCCTTTTGTGAAGAAAGTGCTTTTATAGTTTGAGGGAAAAAATGACTAATATATTTATTCTGTGAATTTATTTTTCCTTAATGCTATTGGTTAAAGGAGCGAGCTCTCTTTTTATGGCTTAGAGAGAGCAGAAACAGATTTTTGCTTAGTTCTTTTGAATTTTTGGATGCCCCCCCCCCTTTTCTCTCACATTTTTCAGCCCTTCCCAACAGAGATAACTTTGTGTCCGCACAGCTAGCGTTTTCTTACTACCCCCATGGTACTTGTAAAGTTTTATTTTTTGCTCTCACTTTACAAAGATTCACTCATCCCTAGAACATACATTTTAAGTGCTTCAACCTGCTTTTTAAAGATACCCCTATCTGGAAGATAAAAATGTAATCCGTGAACTGAGTACCTGGGGAGGGATGATTTCGGGAGGAACAGGTCCCGTTTGTGCCCGACGATGAAAGGGGTCTTCCGGTGTGTGCCCAGTGCAGGCTGTCCGTGGGGTTTGGGGTGACACATGGGTCCTTGGAGAGGCCAGTCCCTGCCCTTGACTATGAGGCGTAACATCCAGCACCACAGTTAAAATTCAAGATCTCTTCCTGGAAACATCAACTGCAGGCAACCTCTAGGCTTTACAACTTGAATTGCCCCTTAATCTCTCTTGTGAAGCCATGAAACCATGCACTAAATATAGACTCATCCCCTGAAGGGGACAGGACCCTTATTTTTATCCATTCAAAGCAAAGTATGACCTTTCATCAGATAAGTCTTCACAACTCATACCCAGTAAAATCCCATTAGTCTGAGAACACGCAGTTCATTACAGCGTTGCATTATAATTCTGGTGTAAGTCGAACTGAAGTTTATGGTTTTTATTTACTATGAGGAAAAGATGGGCTAAACAAGATGCGAGGAAGCACGCTGTTTATGTAACACTATTTTTACATACGGAGCAGCACCTAATTCTCCAACGATTTTCTAGCTGTGAGAATAATGCAGGGAAAACGTGGGCATGCAGAAATGAAGTTTTCAGAATCCCCTGCTGGTAGCCACCCTTGACGTATCGGCGTGTTTTCTACAGTCCCGGGAAGATGGAATCTTTAAACATAGGCAGATGCCCGTATCTTAGAGACTAGGACGGCCGCGGAGGCAGGCGGTCAGGAGGCCACGGACATATTGTTTCTGCAGCCGCGCCCTTCTCTGCGGTGGCAGCGCTGTGTGTTGACACAGGGCATTAAAAGATGCTCCCTAGACGTGTTGGCCTTCGTTAACTGGCAGTCTGGTATGTGTGATTTTCCACTCTGTGAATCCGCCTTGGAGCTGTCCTGTCCAGCCTTCTAGAAAGCCGCCTTCACCGGCCTCCAGGGTCCTGTCCTGGGAGAGGTGGTCAGGTCAAGAGTCAAGCCCAGGGACGCCGTTTTGACAAGGGACGTGGGTCCCGTGCCAGCAGCCTGAGTGTCTCCGTGTCGCCCCCAAACCAGGACTTGCCACAGGGTCGCTCTCCGCGTGTGGTAGCGGGAAACCAAACGTGCCCCCTTACACTAAGTGAGCGCTCAGTGACACAGTCCCCTCTCCCGCAGATAACATTGCCTCGGAGCTGGAGAACTTCATGGGGCTCATTGAGGTGGTGACAGGCTACGTGAAGATCCGCCACTCCCACGCCTTGGTCTCCTTGTCCTTCCTCAAGAACCTTCGCCTGATCTTAGGGGAGGAGCAGCTCGAGGGGTAAGTGCTCCGAGGCTCACAGGCCGGCGTCCTCACCTCACTGGGTCGGCAGCACGTGCTTCGGGTCTGTGTGACCCAGCGAAGAGCCCTTTCTCGTTCAGAAGAAGAAGGGGAGGAACAGCGGTCAGACCGGTGCTCCCGGAGGGGTGGGCTCTGTCCTCACGCTGGCTCTCCTGCGGTCACGAGTCTCCGTCCCGGGGACGCTGCCCGGGAAACCTGTTCTGAGCCGTCAGTCAAGGGCCACGTGTCTGGCTGTGGCCGCAGAAACAGCAGACCAGGAGGCTGTTGGCAGCTCTTTGTGCCAAGCGTGACAGAGGTGGGTCCGAGGGGCTCACCTCTCTGAAATCACCACTTCCGGGGCCCCTCTCTGCCTCCGGGTGCTGGGCCCTGCTCTCCCCAAACCAGGCCGTCTTTTAAACCTATGGGCACCTAAGAGATTTGGAGGAGTACGGACAATTCACTTGGCTATAAAGAAATCTTGATTCACAAGATTGTTTTTATTGATCCGCTGCTAGGATTTATGCCACTGATAGAGTTTTTGCCTTCTGCAGAGATGCGCTGTGTGCAAAGGGCCTTAAAGAGTCAGCAGCTTTTCACTGGAGGGTGCCGGAAATCTGGCGCCCATTGCATCCATGGGTCCTTGCCAGCAGTTTTCCTGTGTGTGCCTTTGCATGTAGACGTTTCTCTTCCCACTCCTCCTTTTTCTTTTTCTTAATCCTTACCCAAGGATATGTTTATTGACTTTAGCGGGGGGAGGGAGTGAGAGAGAAACATAGGTTGGTTGCCTTCCGTATGCATCCCCACCACGGATCGAACCCGCAACCTAGACACGTGCCCTGACCGGGGATCGAACCTGCAGCCTTTTGGTGCACGGGACGGCACTTCAACTGCCTGAGCCACCCGGCCAGGGCACGCTCCCCGTTTCCAACACAGCTCCAGCCAGCCTGTAAGCGAACACTTTGAAATAGAAGGAGGCATCCGTTAATGAGCGAATTCCTTCTGCAGAGAATTTGGGGAAATAATTTAGGGCAGAAAGAGGTGGGAAGGCCATGGGAAAGGCCGTCCTTTGTGATGGCCTGCCCTGGCCGGATACAGTTACCACATTAGGGTTTCTTTATGGCTTCCCTGCTTTTCTCAGGCAAACTCTTGGTCAGTCTTAAATTCCTAAAATTCCACCATCTGATACAGCCAAGGGGAGAGGGCAGCTCTTCATTCCATCCTCGGAAAGCATGCTGTCCTCCCCGCGGGGGACCCTGATACGTTAGAGGAACGTCCCTCTCCTGGCAGGCCCCCGCAGGCTGCCGCAGTGCCCCGCCCCAGCGCGTCCCTGTCACTTGGATGGCAGGCCATTCTGAGGTGGTGGCTAGTGTTTGTCGTATTCGATTTTAAAGTGAATTTTAGCACATTTTTGTTCTTCCCCAAGAAGTTTCAGATTCCTGGGATCCCTGCTGGTGGTGAGCACTTTTTCTTAGGCGGGCTGATATCTGCAAATTTCCCTGCTGCTGAAGGACATTTTTTTTTTTTCCAGGCTGAGCACATGATAGACATAGAAAGCTGAGAGGAGTGTTTAATTAACTTCTATTAGCTATTAGTACATGATGTGATTACCTTTTAGGTGTGCATTCCCTGCAAGGTATTACGCACTTAAATGAACCCCAAAATGAAAGCCTGGTTTTCATATGCAAGAATACGTATATATGTCTCATGATCTGACACTGGTGTAAAACCTGAAGTCCCAGTGGGGTCTTTTTAAGAACACCTGTCATTACTTAGGTGTTGGGGATGCTTCTGAGTTCAGGTAAGCTCCGGGTCCCTGTCCTGCCTTAGCGTTTTAGGTGACCGGGGACAGCAGGTGGGCCTCCAGTTTCAACAACCTGTTGCCGATCAGTAGCCTAGTGCCCTGACGATGCTGGGTTTCCAGTCTTTTATCTCTGAGCGCTGCTTCTTGGAGGGTCTCTCATCAGCAAAGGCTTGCTCACCTCCTTCCACACCCATGACCGAAAAGGCATCCTCACGCACGATGACCGCCCCGCAACGATCGGCCCCGCGTGGTAGCAACAACTCCAGTCTTTACGTCTCCTCCTTGGACTTCGGAAGAGAGCTCGGGCCAGCCCTGCCTCCCCCAAGCAGGGGACAGTCAGAGAGAGCCCGAGAAGAAAGAAATCCGATCAATAGATAAGTACAAGGCAGAACTTGTGAGACGTTGCGAGGGTAGGAAGGGGAACGTGCCAAGTGCGTGGGGAAAAAAGAGCCGGCTATCAGATGAGGAAGATCAGACAGGCGTCCTTGAAGATGGAGCCCCGAAGGGTTTCCGGAGACACTCGGCGAACAGAGGGTGATGAAAAGCAGTTCAGGACGGGGCACCCGGAGCAAAGGCAGCGAGTCAGGGCGTCCTGGGACCTGCTCGGCAGATCCTGCTGGCGAGGCAGGTGGCATTGGGACTGCACAAGGTGTTAGGCGCCCAGATGTGGTGGCTGCGATTAGGCCGGCCCTGGAAAGCCGTCCGGGCCTCTGGCTTTCAGGACTGTTAGCGGCCCTGTCTGGAAATGAAATTTTTGGACATTACATTCCTGTATGTTTTTGGTTTTAAGCCAAGGTAGCTTTTCTCCCGGTGGTTCCCAAAATTGGCTGCACATTAGGATCTTCGGGCGGGCTTTTTAAAATTCCCAATACCCACGGTGGACTCCATCCCAACTCGGCCGCAGTGTTCGGGGGTGGGATCCCGGCCTCTCTGCGTTCCTGAAGATGCCAAGTTCGTTTCAAGGTGCAGCCAAGACCAGAAACCACCACCCTCTCCTGTTCTTCCTCATATGCATATCCCTGAGGCACTTTGGCTATTGATCCTAAATATTTCCTTGTCACGCTTGCCTTAAAGTGCCATTTTTCTCAAACCTCTCATAGCTACGAACACGTGCTTTCATGTGGTTGGATAGGAAGAAACTTTCACGGCTGTTTTTGTTTGTTTTAACCCTCAGTGGAGGATTTTTTTTTTTTTCATTGCTTTTAGAGAGAGTGGAAGGTGGGGCGCGGGGGGTGGGAAAGAAATAAATGTCACTACGAGAGAGAAACGTCAATCTGTTGTCTCCCATACACACCCCAACTGGGGATGGAACCGGCAGCCTTTCTGGGTACAGGGCGATGCTCCAACCCACTGAGCTGCATGGGCCAGGCCTGTGGCCGTTTGTTTAGATGGAGGGCGGAGAAGTTCCCACAGCCGCGACCCTTCCCATATGGCAGCCGTGGCTTTCACACCAGCGCTGAGGCCTGTCTCCAGAAGGGCCCCGAGCAGCCCGGACCCCGGCCGGGGCGCGCAGTGAAGCGCTGTACCGGGGCAGAATTAGCCTCCACGCGAGGGGACCGCTGTGCAGGCTGCGGACACAGGTAGCAGCATCCCTCCCGAACAGACCGGGGGGCGGTCGGGGAGCGGGGGGCGGGGCCCGGGCGGCACCAGCCGGCCATCAGCTTGTCGCGGATGACTCCGGTCGCCCGGGTTTCCCTGAGGACTCCACTCACTCTGTTTCCAGAGTGATACCTTGGACAGGAAGAAAGTCAAGGTTTTTCCGCCCTTTATGAGGGCATGAGATTTTGTGATGCACGCACACAAGATTATTATATGAGGGCTCGTTGGTGAGCCCTTGAGGGGAGAGAGAGCGGCACCGTCACCTGGGCGATTCCTTTTTCTGGTCAGTCCTGTTTTCTGATGGCATCGGATAAGTAAGGAGTTGAAGTTTCATGCTTTTAAAAAAACGTATTCATTGATTGATTTTGAGAGAGAGAGAGAGAAACATTAATATGTTGTTCCACTTACTGATGCACTCATTGGTTGCTGCTTGTGTGTGCCCTGACCGGGGATCGAACCTGCAACCTCGGCTCATTGGGACAACACTCCAGCCAACGGAGCTACCTGGTCAGGGCCAAGTTTCAGATTTTGTTGTTGTTGTTGTTGTGGTTGCCACCAAGGATTGTCACCCTGGAAAGAATAAAAGTCGGTGGAGCTGGTGGGTGATAAGCACTGAAACCCTGGGGTGCACCTGGACCTCGCGCTGCTCCGGTCCCCACTGCTTGGCTGGGCAGTGCCTCAGTGCTGCCTCCTGCCTTCTGGCAGCTCCAGATCCGGTTGCAGGAGGGCCGCACACAGAACTCTTCTCTGGGGCTTGTTAAAGAACATCCAGTCAACCATGTGACTCAGCAGTTTCAAGCTCTACCCGGTAGCTCCCCGGAGACAGGAAAGCGTGCCCACACAAGACTTGTGTGTGAGTGTTCGTGGCAGGATTATTCATTGCTCACCCAACAGAGACAGGGAGCAGATCGGTGACGGCTGGCGGTAGCGGTGGGAAGGGACCCCCCCTCCCCCTCCGGTAACTTGGGCGTGGTGGCAGTGTTCTGACACTGCCTCGTGGGGACGGTCGCACTGCTGCACAAGTTTACTGAAGCTCATGGAACTTGCATTGATAACGGGTGAATTTGGGGGAGGTGATTATACCTCAGTCAAGCTGTTTAAAAAACAGAATACATTTTCGGAGCACCCGTTTGGCACCTAGTGCCACTTACATGCAAATCCCAGCCCTTGCCGAGACCCCGGGGTGGGCGCAAACCCTGGGTCTGGGGACGGTTTGGACGTGGTGTGAGGCAGCCCCTGAGGAAAGGCCACTCCTGGGTGCATTGCAGATTGCGGGACGCTGGAGGCAGCCCGTGTGCTGGGCTCCGACGCCCCCTAGCGGCCGCCGGGCAGAGGCCGCGGTCTCTCAGGAATGAAAGAAGGATTGGTGTGCACTGCAGATTTTCTTTGAATTGTCAGCAAGGGCTGGAAAGGGGGTCCCTTCCCCCTCCCTGTAAGCTGGAGACCGCGGGCTCAGCGCCTTTTGTCTCAGCCCAGGAGAAGCTGAATAAATACTTGGCCTACGGTTATTGCTTAGGAAATGGTAGCAGTGATGCGTGCAGACCCTGGTCTTTGGATTCCCAAATGCAATTCTCTGCATCCTGGTCCCAGTCTGTCTTCTAAATGCTATGCAAATGCCTCTCTGCCTTCCTGTGCTTCCCCACCCTTCCTGCCCATCATGGGAGCAGGTGGCGAGGCGGCGAGGCGGCTACCTCGAGGGTCAGACAGCCCCGAGATGGGAGCCTCCGATGAAACAGCTCAGTGCGTATCATGTGCGAGGCATTCGGAACATCGGTGCAGATAATGCACAGCTGTCCTCAGGGAGACAGGCAGCCGCGCCCGCCTGCCTCGGTGTGCCTGCTTTGTGGCCGGGGGCCGGCCCAGTCCAGAAACAAACGCTTTCTGCTACGTGGTGAAGGCCGGGGGCCAGGATTCCAGTCCAACAGGTCCTCGAATCAACAGGTCGTTTCCTTCTACGTCATTTCATCGTAGCGGCGATGAGATGCCGCCCTAGGAACTCAGCCCTGGCTTACGTGAAGTAGCCTGGGGCGTAATTGGTGCTGTTACAGGTCCTTTCGCTTAAAGTCACAGAGCCTCTCGGCATCTCTAAAGCCAAGGCATCACGGAGCCCATGTGAGCTGCAGAAAAATAAACCAGTAACTGAATTTTTAAAACTATTCGTTGGAAGTAAAGGCAGGGAGCCTAGAAGCAGTGAGGAGATCCCACTTACCGAGTCATGGAGTGACTAGCCATTTCCTTTAGGAGACAATGAAGCTCAAAGTGTGCATGTGTGTGCACGCGAGAGTGCGCGTTAAAGGTATGCAGGCAAGCCTCTGCCTTCGCTGTGCCTTAATTCTCTAATCATGGGAGGAATCCGGGGGAAGCCGGGGTTGAAAAACAAGAGCAGTATTGACAGGCAGCTCAAGAATGCCTTGATTATTATTTTAACGAGGGTTCCGGATTTATTTTTCTGTTACTTACACAGACAGGCCCCGCTTCGCCTGGGTTTTATTGGTGCTCGTATCCTGGCCCCCGGCCGTCTCCACGTTGTAAAAAATGTTTGTGTTTACTGTAAAAAGATAATCTTGCTTTTCAAAGCGATTAATCACATACACAGAATTTCCGTGCGCCTGCCACTCATGTGTCAAACTCCTGATTTAGAATTCACGCTCCCTCCCGTGGGGAGAGGCATGTTTTGTTCAGAAGGTATTTTCGGTGCAGTTCTGTTTCCTGCTGGTGAAATCGGTTTACTGAAAAGAAGTCTCGGCCTGGGTCGAGGCAGCAGTTGGACCTGGTCGATGGGCCTTCGCTCCCCGCCCAGGGGTTCCTGGGTCAACAAGGAGATCTTGTCCCGTGGGGCCCACTCAGGAACCTAGGAGCAGCCCCACCCCGTGGGGTTAGTGCTGACGCTGCACAGTGTCCTTTGGACCCAGAGATGCCCCGTGGGCACGGACGGGCCTAAAAAGGGGGATCTGTTTCCGCCCGTCAACCCATCCTGCATGGGCGTGAATGACACCCTGAGCCTCCCTGCCTTCCGGTGGCCGCTGACCGGGAGGTGGGGGCCCTCCCGAGGGATGGCACATGTCATCTTGCCACGTCCCGGCGCGTCCCGCCTGTGCACATGGCCCATGTCACGTATCCCGCCTCTAGATTCAGTTAGACCACGTCTTACACTCCCCCTCCAGCAGGTGTAAGTGTTCGGGAGGGAGCCTCAGGGGAAGGGAAGGATTGCTGACAACAAGGCTTTGCTGGCGGATCGGTGGCCATGAACGGTCCAGGGGCCTCACGGCGGGTTGGGCGGGGCCTGGCTGGTGACCAGAGGTGCTGTCTTTGGACTCACTCGGCTCACGCATGCCCACCTGCACCGCCCCCTCAGGGGCAGATTCAGGCTGGCTGGGTGGACTCCACCCCTTCCTGTGACTTCTCCTGGGCATCAGGGCCTTGGACTCTTCAAAGCAACGGGAGATCCGGTGGCCCCCGTGCATACCCTGTGGTGTCCTATGAGTGAGCTAGTGGGGTACGGAAAGCACTAAGGGCCTCGCCCATCCTTGCTCCCTGTCTCTGAGCTCCCTCTTGAACCCCCAGGGAAACGTCACACATCTGCTTGGCTGGGTTGTAACTAACTTTTGCTTTTGTGCACGTGAGCGAGGCTCAGGCTGAGGGCTGGCCGGGCAGGTAGAGGTCCCGGATGGGTGTCAGTGAGGAGCCTCACCTGGCGCAGACAGGTGCCTGGTGGACCCAGCCGGGAGGCACAGGGGCTTGGGGCCCCTGTTCTGGCTTCACAAAGAGGACCAGGATCCTCTCTGCCGTTTGTGGCTTGGGCTGGGAGTGAACCTCAGAAATAGCTCAAAGGGCCGCACTGATTCCCAGGCTCAGTTTTGTGGAAAGTGCACGACCAAGCCCAGAGAAAGGAAGGCTGGGCAGGAGGAGGGGCAGGTGGCGAAGGGGAGGGGTCGCGGCCAGGGGAGCACACCCTGTGCACAGAGGACTCAGGGCTGCTGCGGTGCTGGTGCTGCGGGGTCTGTCTGCAGACGGCAAGCTGTAGATGCCTGCCCTCTCCCCTCCTCATGCGTGGGGCATGGCTTTCTCCCTCAGGAGCCAGACACAGCCGTAGCCAGTGCTGCCTGTCCCTGCATTTTCCCTGCAGCGGACAGTGGGTCTGCTGCTTTCGTGTGCACCCGCTGGGGCGGAGCCCACGTACGGCTTGGTTGCATTTGGACCTCCAGCCCTTTGCAGGTGCTCAGCATCTGTTAGACGGGCGCTTTCCCACATGCACTGCAGGACCAACAGCCTCAGCATCCCTGGGCGCCGGTGAGGAGTGCAGAGTCTCAGCCCAGGCCGGCCTGCTAATCCGCAACTCCAGGGCCGGGCCCAGCCCTCTGAAAACCAGCTGCGTGCTCACTAGCCTGCATGGGGCACTGAGTCGCTCTCACCTGCGTGGGTGGCCCCGGGGACTGCCCATGGGGGGTGCCGTCTCCTCCCCCATCTTCTCCAGGAATGGAAGCTGAGGCTTTTCAGGGTGCAGTGAGTCTGGGGGGGGGCCCACGGCCGAGCCTGCCCCCTGTCCCAGGCTCTGTCCTACCCTCTCCTCCGCTGCTGGCAGCGGGGACGGCATTGAGCCCCCAGCATATCGGCAGGCGTCCCACAGCCAGTATGTAAGCCGTTCCGATTGAGTAGCAGAGCGTATCCGTTCTCCTGTGGACGGATTTCCAGCGCATTGAACATGCTCAGGACTGGGAGAAAGAACCAAAGGCGTTTCTGGGGAATGATTCTCATAACCTCCTCGGGTGTGAGAAGCATTCTTTGTTGGCAATAGAGGTCATGGCATTAGCATCTTGTCGACTTCAATATGTTGTCCTTGAATCCTATCATGGCCATTGTTAACGGTAGCTCTCCATTCTTTTTAAAAAATACATATTTTATTGATTATGCTATTACAGTAGCCCCCCTCCTTCCTCGCCCCCCCCCAGCAGTCCCTCACTCTTGCAGAGGCTGTGCAGCCTGGAGCCATGTGGAGGGCCTGGGAGGTGGCCCGCAGGCTGGGTGGACGATGGGCGGAGAAGGTCAAGGGCGCTCACGCTGGGCTCTGTGCTTGTAGGAACTACTCCTTCTACGTCCTCGACAACCAGAACCTGCAGCAGCTGTGGGACTGGGACCACCGGAACCTGACCATCAAAGCGGGCAAGATGTACTTTGCTTTCAATCCCAAGTTGTGTGTCTCCGAAATTTACCGCATGGAGGAGGTGACGGGGACAAAGGGGCGCCAGAGCAAAGGGGACATAAACACCCGGAACAACGGAGAGCGAGCTTCCTGTGAGTAGACGCGTTCAAACCCCTGCGGGCACAGCGCGGGGGTAGGGGGCCCCTCTTCCGAGCCGGGACTTCCCTCTGTGGTCCCGCCTCGCGTCGCCCGCGCCCTTTGCTCATCTGTGTGCGTCGTCCGAGTCAGCGGTGGGGCAGGCGCGTGATGGTTTATGTCTGTGAGTTTTCCCTGGCGGCCACGCGAGTGTGCCGAACACCTAGAACGAGGTTCCCGCCGAGGTCTGAAAGCAGCACTTACAGGATGCGCAGTCTGCGCCCAGGGGTACAGCTGCGCTGCTTTTCAGCAAAGAGCTGGGCCCCTCTCTCCTTCTCATCCGACCCTGGATGTAAAACTGCTTTTAGAAAAGTTGTGTTGCTGTTGGCTGGTGGGGTTAAAAAAGGAAACTGTCACCAGCCCCTCCCCCCGCCCCCGCCTCCAATCAACTCTTTTTCTTTTATTAAATTTATCGGGGAGGAATTAGTTAAAAGGGTTGCCTAGGTGTCAAGTGTATACTTCTCTGCTACACGATGTGTCTGTTGCGTTGTGTGCTCACCACCCGAAGTCAAATCATCTTTCGTCACCCTCCCTGTCCCCCACCCTCAACTTTTAACAAAGAAAGGGTATTAAGAAAAACAAGTTGCGTACGCGATCGAGGGGGGTTTGCACGCACACGTGCAGAGGGAGGAGGGTCTGTGACATGGCCCGCGTTTGGCATTGGCTTGTGGTGCTGGTGTCCGGCTTCCCTCGTCCACACGCAGATCGCTCTGGAAGAGTTCTGGTAGCAAAGGAGCCCGCCGCAGAGCTGGGGCGCATGTTTGCCGTAGGCACTGTGTTCAGCCTTCGCAGACACCGTGAGCGCGTCCGAGTTCTCCGGTGTTTTCCTCCTCGGGCCAGCCAGTCCGACCTGTCTGATCCTGAATACAGAGGCGGTTCACCTTTCTTTGAAAAGGGAACAATCCTGTTTTCTGTCTCTGTAGCACGTTAGTGGGAACTACAGCGTTTTGCCCATCTCTGTCCTGCATGTTTCGTCCTGCACACTTGCTGGTCTCTCACTGCCTTTAGCCCCCCGCTAGGGCTGGAGGGTGGGATCCAGGTGCACACGGGAAAGGGACCCCTCCTGGGAGAGCTTCGGGTCTCGGGAGGGGACAGTCATCCGCCCGTCCCTGGTTCCCATTCAAGCTTCAGTCCGGTCGCAGGAACAAGACGAAGCAAAGGCTCACAGCACAGAAAGCTCTGCGAGGTGAGATTGGTCTCGGTGCCTAATCCATCCCTGTCCTCTGTCTGCCAGCTGGAGGCCTCCAAGGGGGCTCCGGTGTCTCTCCGGCGTGGCCTCCAGTGCCTACTCAGCAGAGCCCCCTGTCTTTGCTGGCTGCACCGGAGCCGGCCGACGCGCGCAGGTGCAGAGCAGGGGCCACCACGTGTCGGAGCCGCCCGGCCGGAGGGCCCGCTCCCGCCTGCCCTGGCCCCCGGGGAGCCCAGGCTTGGGCGTCGGCAGAAAGTAGGGCCGCCTCGGTCGGGCAGGCGGTCCTTCCCCTTCAGGCTCAGGGTCATGCACAAGTTCACGTCCACACCGTGGGCGCCGGGCCGAAGGAATGAGCCCCTGGGAGCTCCGTGCGGTGCAAGGCAGGGAGGGGTGAAAGTAGGTTTGCAGTTTGGAGGGAAAACAATACAGTCGTTAGTAAGTGATGATATAGGAATAAACTGTGTTCCATGGACTCACAACTGTAAACCTACTTTTGCCCCACCCTGTATTTGAGTCCTTGGTAGAAATAAGAAAGCCACCGACAGGTCCAGGCGGGGACTTGGCACGCACAGTGCAGGCCAGGCGACTTCCCAGACACGTGGAGGAGAAGGACGGTGGTGTCTGTCGCTCACGGATGTGCCTCTGTGCCCCAGGTGAGAGCGACGTCTTGCACTTTACCTCCACCAACACGTGGAAGAACCGCATCATCATAACATGGCACCGGTACCGGCCGCCGGACTACAGGGACCTGATCAGCTTCACCGTCTACTACAAGGAAGCGTGAGTCCTGCTCGGTGGCGGCGTTCTGTTGGCGGGGCCGTGGGTGGGGAAGCCCACGCTTCATCCTCAGTGCCCGCGCCCCCCGCGGTCATGTGACGTCCGTCGCTGCCGCCATCGGGGAAGCGTTAGCTTCAGTGGGGAGAGGTGGTTGAATAACATAAACCCAAAGAGAAAAGCTCATTTTTCAAAGAATTAGGTCTGTCCAAATATTCATCAACTGGATGGAGGGCGGGGTTGAAATGTCACTTCAGCCTTGCTGCCCGATGACCCCTCCTCCAGGGACACCCTGCCGGATGCTCAGTTCCCTTTGAGGTGGCCCCCAGGGAAAGTCCATGTCTGACTGGTGTCCCCGCCGTGAGCCCTTCCCGAGGTCATGAGCCGGCCACACGAGGGAGAATGGAGAAGAAAAGGACTTGAGCCTTCAGTGATTTCTCCGAAAACCTGCTGGGGCTCTTCTTGTGCCTTCGGGTGACATCCGCCTCCCTAAGCAGCTGTGACTTACCCCTCCCCACAGCAGCTCTCCATCCCTCTTCCTTTCTTTGTCTCCTCTGTCCGGGTGGTTCCCCAGTTTGTCCCCGTCATGACCCAGGTCCCATGTTGGTGCCGCAGGTCTGTTTCCTGGGTGCTTGGCTTCCCTGGAGCTGGAACCAGAGCCACCAATGGGTGGCAGGATCTGGTCCCCTTCCCCTGCTGGGGCCGGGGCCCTGAGGACGACCCGAGCAGTGACAGAAGCAGGGCCCGGGATGATTATGTGTCACTGTGCGTGGGGGTCGCTCTGGTCTTTCATCGCAATGACGGGCCCGCGGCTGTTCGGCCCTTTCAGTGGGCGGATGTCCGATCTGGGCCCAGCCCCACCTCTGTACAAACACTCCGTGCCCTCTGACAGTCCTCCTAATGCTTTGGCACCGTCGGCTGGTAATGTCACCAAGGAGCCGATGCTGCTTTCTGAGACAATCTGGAGACGAAGTATTTGAGTCTTACAAGACACTTTGGCCATCAGAGTTGCTCATGAGCAAATTAGATTTTGGAAGCTGTACTTGAGAAGCTGTTTTTCTGTAGTAAAGTCATTTTTCTCCAAAAGTTATTCTTTATCAATAGCTGATGTGTGCATTAAATGGCAATGCTTGTGTTTTTCTTAATGGCGAAAAAAAAAAAAAGCCATTTGGAAGAGAGAAAAGTAGTTTTTGCGTGCGCTCTCCAGGAGTAGCATTTTAAACCCTCGTAACTGCAGACCTTGCTCTTCCTGAAGTGGAAGATCGATGCAGTAGCGCGATGTCACTGCGGTGACACCTGGAGCCCAGCTGCTTAATTATATTCTTCCATAAAAAATGGAATGCAGCCACGGCCCAGGTGGCTTGGGTGGGTGGACCATTGTCCCGCCCACCAAAAGTCTGGTGTTCGATCCCCGGTCGGGGTGTTTACAGGAAGCGGTCGGTTCATTTCTCTCTCATGTCGCTGTTTTTCTCTCTCCCCACCCCTGCCCTTTCTCTCTAACATTAATAAGCACGTCCTTGGAGGATTGAGTTTTTTAATTGAATGGGTTTTTTTTTTTTTTGGGAGGGGATGCCTATTATCGAAAGGGTGGCATGCTAGGCCCCTGGGGAAGGTTTCTGAGAACCTCGATGTCAGAGCCCACATGCGGGCCCTGAGCCGCGCCGATTGCCTTTCAGACCCTTCAAAAATGTAACGGAGTACGACGGCCAGGACGCGTGTGGCTCCAACAGCTGGAACATGGTGGACGTGGACCTCCCGTCCAACAAGGACATGGAGCCGGGCATCATGCTGCACGGGCTGAAGCCCTGGACGCAGTACGCGGTGTACGTGAAGGCCGTGACCCTCACCATGGTGGAGAACGACCACATCCGCGGGGCCAAGAGTGAGATCTTGTACATCCGCACCAACGCCTCAGGTATCCGCGCGCTGCTCCCCCGGTTGCGCCGGCTGTCCGCTGCAGCATGCTCCTGCGCCCTCTCCGTCTGTCTGTCTGTCTGTCTGTCTGTCTGTCTGTCTCTCCAGCCCTTTTGACTTCCCTCTTTCATTTGAGCCTCTTGCCATTTGACTCAGAGATTCAGGAATCTCGAGTGACATGCACATCGCTCCTTTTACTATTTGCTGGAGTTAAACGCTTCCTAGGACGGCAGTTGCACCAAAGGAGAAAACTGCAGTGTGTGAGCTGTCGATGCGAAGTCACGCCCCGTCGCCCTGGGGTGCCCCCACGCAGCTCAGCCATGTCTGTTTTCACTGAGATTACCCACAAATAGATTTGACAAAGGGAATCGTCGGCGCTGAAATGCATACTGTTGATAGTGCACGAGGCTCGGTTTTCGTTCTGTGTTTCTGGTTTTCATTTTGTGCCTTCCCACCCACGCTGAAGTTTGGGCTTCTGGCAGGCTTGCGTTGAGTACCTGGATCCTGGGTCCATTCTGCTTCCTCAGATGTCTTTTGTTCCCCTTTCCAGTTCCGTCTATCCCCCTGGATGTTCTTTCGGCCTCTAACTCCTCTTCGCAGCTGATCGTGAAGTGGAACCCGCCGTCCCTGCCCAACGGCAACCTGAGCTACTACATCGTCAGGTGGCAGCGGCAGCCCCAGGACAGCTACCTTTACCGGCACAATTACTGCTCCAAAGGTGAGGCTGGCGGGTGCGGGGGCCCGTAACCGGGGGCTCGTCGCCAAGCCCGACAGGACACAGGCCAGGGCACGGCTTACGGCCTCGTCTGGGCACAGGCTCCCTTGCCCCCTCGCAGCGGGAGAACTGGGCCTTCATTCCCACTCTCGGGGGGCCTCTCTCTCTCCAAGCAGACAAAATCCCCATCCGCAAATATGCCGACGGCACCATCGACATCGAGGAGGTGACAGAGAACCCGAAGACGGAAGTGTGCGGAGGAGAGAAGGGACCGTGCTGCGCTTGTCCCAAGACCGAGGCGGAGAAGCAGGCCGAGAAGGAGGAGGCCGAGTACCGCAAAGTCTTCGAGAACTTCCTGCACAACTCCATCTTCGTGCCCAGGTGCCAATGGCGTCTTTTGAAAATGTGTCCCGGCTGGGGCCCCTGGAGCAGCTTCTGTTGCCGTCTGTCCCCGTCTGTCCATCCTGGGAGTCCTAGGTCGGCGGCCTCGGGGCAGAACTAGGTCGCCGTGGAGGAGGGAGGAACACGCTCGGCTGTCAGCTTGGTCGGGTGGGGCTCTGCCGGAAGCCGGGGGGCCCCGAAGGAAAGGGGACCAGGGCTCGTGCAGCGGGGCCCCCAGCCTGACGGGGACAGGTGCCTCCCAGCCGCACAGCCATCAGAAGGGTCTCCCCTCCGGCTTCTCGCACCACCTCTTCCGCCCTTTTGAGTGGGGACCGTCTCCCTTCAGTGACTTCGTGCTGTTCCTTTCACCGTCCTGTGTTTGGAGCTGTTGTTTCGAGTCCTGCTCGCATCCCTGACAGCGACCCTGCCCCTACCATGGGCGGGGCCTTGGGGAGGTCTTGGGCGTCACCACCGCTGGGAGGCAGAGCCGGGGGTGTCAAAAAATACAGGCTCTCAGCTCGGATGGGGAGGGGTCGGTGGGGATTTCAGAGGGGAGCGTCCGGGAGTGCACACCATGCTCCCTGCTGGCGTTTGTTTGTTCCCACAGTCAGAGGGTCAAGGAAGCCACCAGCACAAGCCTCAGACCCCTCTCTGCCCCATCTTTCTGGGCCGACGCCGTACCCTGCATTCGCCTCACCCCCGATAAATCTAAGTGTGACCGGCAGGCCGGTCCCCTTTGGTGCCTAACCATGATGTCTGTGGTTCGGGGGGCACAGCATCCTGATGCAAGCCGAGGATGCTGCCTGTAGACAGACAGCTGAGAAGCCACTCTGAGAGCTGGGGGCACGGTCTGTGGGCCCCCTGTGAGATTCGCAGAGGGGAGAGAGCCAAATACATAGCAAAGAAGAAAGTCCCCGCATTACTGGTGGGTTCTTGGCCAAGCGGGCCGAGTAGCTCCTTCGATTCCAAGGTTAAGGCTTTTCCTTTCCCTCTGCTACTCTGAGCTGAGTCACAGACGAGACAAAAAAGGCGGAGACACGTACAAGCCAAGCCTGTCCCTCCCTTGCAGGCCCGAAAGGAAGCGGAGAGACGTGGCGCAAGTCGCCAACACCACCATGCCCACCCGGGGCAGGAACAGCACGGTGGCGGACGTCTACAACGTCACAGACCCGGAGGAGCTGGAGACGGAATACCCCTTCTTCGAGACCAGAGTGGACAACAAGGAGAGGACTGTCATTTCGAACCTCCGGCCTTTCACCCTGTACCGCATCGACATCCACAGCTGTAACCACGAGGCCGAGAAGCTGGGCTGCAGCGCCTCCAACTTCGTCTTTGCGAGGACCATGCCTGCAGGTGCGGCGTGACCCAGCCTACGAAAGGACGGGTGCTCACCCGGGGGCGGCCTGGCAGCCCAGCAGCCGGGGGGCGGGGTCACCCATGGGGCCCTCACTCCCATCCCGATTCCTCCATACAAAGTACTCAAGTGCAGGGAGCTTGCCCGAGGCCCAGCCTCCTCCTCCGTGGTCCGCGGCGTGCACTCCCACGGCCCTTTTCCCCATTTGTGGAAAGCGTGCCTGGTCCCTTCTGAGTTCTCACAGACTCAGTGAAATCCCCAGCAAGCGGCCTTGATTCAGAGTGACCCTCACTCCTCCAGGCCAACTCCGGGCGTGGCCTTAAGGTCTGCGTGTTTGCTCTGCCCCGTCCCCTTGTGCGTTCCAAGCTGCCTGGCGCTCGGACAGCCGCCCAGCCCTCTTGAAGGAAAGGTTCCCTTTCCTGCGGGGGCAGCGGGAAGTGCCTCTGTGTGGCACCCGGGGACTCACAGGCCATTCCATCACTCCAACTCCAAAACCTCTGCTGTGTGGCAGCAGCCGGCTCGCAGGGACTTGGCGTGGCCTCCGTCCTCAGTCCTGCATCGGGGGAGGGCACTCGGGGGCTAGCCCCGCATTGGTATCCCTCCCGGGGGACCCGGATCCAACTTTATTCCTTGTTCATGTTGTTACACAGAAGGAGCAGATGACATTCCCGGGCCGGTGACCTGGGAGCCGAGGCCCGAAAACTCCATCTTTTTAAAGTGGCCAGAGCCCGAGAATCCCAACGGGCTGATTCTAATGTATGAAATAAAATACGGATCCCAGGTCGAGGTAAGACGGGGCGGTGGTCCGTGCCTTGGGGCGTCTCCGTGGCGGGGGACAGCGTGGGTCATCGTGCAGGATGAGCCCCCCCACCGTCAGCATAGGACTTCAAGCAGTGACACTGGGACTAAGCCAGCGAGGGTCGAGGCCCCGCTCCCCGTGGCACGCCTTTGAGAAAACGGTGGCCTGTGCCAGGTGCCGCCGGGCTTGTCACCCTCAAGAAACCGTCGCACTGAACAATCTTTCGGCATAGACTCGATGGGTCTTCATAACCTTTAATCTTTCTGGAGCTCTTTTGGGTTACAAAAAGAAACAAAAAGTGGTTAAAACTTGGGTGTGCCTGCGTCTTGGGGGACCGCCCTCCCAGGCTCGGTCTCTGCGCTTTCCCTGCCTGTGGGGCGCACTGTCAGGAGGGAGGTGAGGGGCCGGGCGGCGCGAGCCGCAGTTTCCCACGTGTCTGTGGCAAACGACCGCCTGTTTCCCCTTCCCCAGGACCAGCGGGAATGCGTGTCCCGGCAGGAGTACCGGAAGTACGGAGGGGCCAAGCTGAACCGGCTCAACCCGGGGAACTACACGGCCCGGATCCAGGCCACCTCTCTGTCCGGCAATGGGTCATGGACGGAGCCTGTGTTCTTCTACGTCCAGGCCAAAAGTAAGGCTTGCGGGAGGAGTGCCTGGGAAAAGGAACGCGGCGTGGCCCGGGGCTGGGGAGGCTGGGTCCTCCCGGCCCTGTAGTTTCCTGAGTTTCTGTCGGACTGGAGGTGGCCAGGTTTCAGGAGGGTTACACCCCTGTCAGCACCCCGAGTGCGGGCTGGGGAGCTGCTGCGCTTGGGGTCCCTGCTCATCGGCTGGGGAGACTCGAGCGCCTCTTTTCAGGGAGTCGGCAGGAGGCCTTTGCTCCCAACTTGGTTTATGTCTAAAGCATTTCACAAAGCGGTGAGTTGGCCATCTGCCGCCTGCCTCTTCAGAGAGGCTGGTTGGGGCTTGGACTCCGGGCTCAGGCTCCTAAGGGGTGACAGAACCCCGGGGGCCATCTGGTCCAGGGCCAGAGTCCCTGCGGCAGCACCGCCGGCTGCGACAGTGTCCCCTGCACCGCCCGTTAGTGAAGCACAGGTGCACCGTGAAAGCACCAGCATGCACTGAACTCACGCAGTGCTCGCCGTGGGGCACAGAGACGGGGCCACGGCCTGAGGGGGTGCTCAAACCATCGACCAGGCAGGATTCCAGAAGGCTGTTCTGTGCAGGGGTTTCAGGTTTTAAAACTGAATTTGGCAAAATGTGTAAACACAATACGGGCTCTCTATTCATTTGACCAGGAAAATTTAGTCTTTTATTTAGTGACATATCTATTGCTTGTCAGTTCCACATTGACGGTCTATTTCTCATTAGAAACCCGGTTTTCTAGGTTATTCTGTGTTCAGAGAATGGGGTGAAATCTGGCACGGTGTCATTTCTGGCTGCTGCGCCCACGCGGAGGAGCTGCCCCGCCCGGCCCAGCAGTGCAGCTTGGCGGCTTGGGGGCCCGGTGGCCGTCCCCCGTGCCCCGGTCCCTCCGGGCACCATTTTCAAATTCAGGACCCAGCCGACCCAGCAGCCCACCCAGTGGGCTCCTGGCAACCAGAGATACACAGGATGGGAAAATCCCAGCAGTGAGGTGTCAGAGGAGTGACATGGCCGGGTTCTGGTTTCGGGTAGACAGACAGGTGCCGGTGCCAATGGTTCCGCCAGCCGATGTCGTCAGCGCCCCGCGTGGGGCACGCGCCCTGCTCTGAGTGGCCACCCCGGGCCCCTCTCCAGAGCTCGGCTCGCTTTCTTCCCTCTCCTCTTCCGTCTGCATCGTCCCTCAGGGACGGAGCCCGGGGCGGGGTCTGCCGTCTGGCCACGGCCTCGGGAACGGCGGCCTTGGCGTCTGGGCTTCCGCGGCCGTGGCCCTCTGCGGAGATGGCATGGCCCTCGCAGCCACAGCCACATGTTTTTCGCCCCGCGAGCCCCTCCGACACTCCCTGCAGCGGAATTGGGCACAGTCCGTGGGGACGTGAAACCTGCGCACCGGCTTTTCTTTTGCCAGACAAGACTCTCTCCGGCTTCGGTTCAGTCTCTTGTCCTCTTATTTATTGGAAGCTTGGGCAGCGCCCTGGCGGTGCCCGTCCTTGCAGGAAGCCTTCCTCCGTGTGCTGGAATCCGATGCAATGACTCGTCAGCCTTCTCCTCTCCAGACTGTGTAATCGCAGGTTTTTGGGCCTCTTCTTGTAGCCCAGCTTCAGAGGCCAATTTTCTAGTCGTTGAATCATCTTGTTTGTCTCTGGACGTGTTCCAGTTTCTCCGTGTCCCTGAGGAAATGTGAAACTTGAAAAGAACATGGTGCAGCCTGACCAGTAGCATCGATGATACCAGAATAAGAAAGAGTCCTTGGGGGTGGAAAACAAACTCTCCTGGCTCCCCAAAGGCAGTGATAACTTGAGAGCAACCTTAAGAATTACAAAATAAAGGAGGCTGCGTCCATTTTCAGAGCTATTTGATCAAAATATCTTGAATGTAAAAGTGAAGATAGCTTCGAGAGGCCTTAAAGAGTAACGGCAGTCATAGTTTTTAGTGATGAGATCTTCATCGCTGGGCACAACTAGGTCCCCAGTGGGGCCCGCCCTGTCCCCACAGGGATGACCCCGCCTGGGTGTCCCCTGGGCACCTCCCGTTCCCTGCGCACAAAACCACAACCTCCCTCGCTACCCCCGCCACATCTCCCGGTTCTTTGTCCTGGAGCTCAGCCGGCGGCCCCACAGTCTGTGCACCCCCCACGCCAGGACCCTCGCGCCCCGGCTTCCCGTTCACACCCAGCTCCTTGGCCTCTCCTGGCAAAGACCCCTGCAGTCCAGCCTCTGTCCGCCGCCGCCGCCGCCCCAGCTCAGAGTCCATGGGGTGCTCGCGGCGTGGGGAGTGTGCGCTGAGGGTGCAGGAAGCCTGGGTTCCCATCCCGGCGGCCTGTGTGCCCCGGGAGAGCGGGTCATCTCTGTGTGTCCCCCTCGCTTATGCAAAGGGAGCAGCGGTTCCTTAGTGAAGTCTGGGCTGGGTAACGCAGAGCATGCCCGGGTCCCCTCCTGCCCCTCCAGTCTGTCCTCGGGCACAGTTCTTGGGGGCTGGAGGGCGCCCCCTGGTTCCCTTTAACCTGCAGAGAGAGGATCAGGCTGCTTAGCATGGACAAAGCCCCTGGGGAGCCCGCCGCCCCCCGCCCCTTACCGCTCCCGGTCCATGCTCTGCCCCGCAAAGCTCCCCCACTCCCTTCTCCTCTGCCGTCCTCTCTGCGTCCTGGACACGCTGATTTCCTGCATCGGGCAGCATTTCCAGGGGTGGGGTCGGTGTCCCCGTGTCTAGCCTGACACCTGCCATACAGGTGCTGGGGACAGGGACCAGCTGGGCTGCAGCGAGCTCTGTGCTCTTAGAGTCCGAACTAGACCCTGATGTTTGGGGAGAATTCGGAGCCACTTTGGCAAGAAGTGCCAGCAGCTATGTTTTAATTGTCTGTGGCACTGCCTTAAGACAGGTGAAAAGGCCAGTGCAGCGTGAGCCCTGCCCAGGTACGAATTTCTGTGCATTTATTTTAGCATTTCAAATATTTTTCTCACTACATGTGTCCACTAACTCTCACCCTCGTACTTACGCATTCACTGACCAGGGATCGAACCCACAGCCTTAGTGTATTGGGACAACGCTCTAGCCAACTGAGCTATATTTCTGTGCATTTATTTTAGCAAATGTATGCATTTTTCCTTATAGTCATTAAACTGCACCCAAAAATTATTCTCCTTGAGCCCATCATTTGAACTATTATTTCAGAATACACTGAACTTCAAAAATAAGAACACGTATCCTGTTCAGTCCGCAGGTACTGAATCCTTTTTCAAAAACCTCAGTGTTATTTTGCTCTCATTCTGGGTAGCGTTTCCCTCCAGAACCCCCAGTGTGTGACGGGGCCGCAGAGGAGTTTTCAGGGGCTTTCGTCCCCCGTCCAGCTGAAGGCGATGAGCCGCTTGCTCGCCTCGTCACCACGGTTGATCGGTCCCCCTTGTTTTTCCGCAGCAACGTACGAAAATTTCATCCACCTGATCATCGCGCTGCCCGTGGCTGTGCTGCTCATAGTCGGCGGGCTGGTTATAATGCTGTACGTCTTTCACAGGAAGAGGTGAGTGGCGCGGCGGGCGGTGCGGGCGCCTCCGGGGGCTTCGTGGTGCCGTGGCGTGAACCTGGGTGAAGGGCGGCTTCTTGAGGAAGTACCGTCTGACGCACACTATTTTGTCCAAGTTTCTTAGGGAAAAATAAGGATGTGCGTTATATACATGGGTATAATGATTACCTACCAGGAGGTATAATAGCCCCATGTACAATGTGCACAAACCATGGGTGCGCATCACACACAGCCAAATGCGTAGTTTGTGCATCGGAAAACCTGATTTTCCAGTCAAGTGCTCTTCATAGGAACAGAGGACAGTGCCCGATGATTCCACCAGGCCACCCTTCTGTGGGGCGGTGCCATCGTCCCTCCCTGGCGGCTCAGTCACGCAGGCGCTGCCGCTACGCTAAGCCCCCCGAGCCGGAGCCATTAGCCCTGTCGATCAGCACCCCTTTTCCTCTCCAGTGAAATGAAGAGATGCATGTTTTTTACAAAGCTCTAGCCGGGGCCACTGAAGAAGCCAAGGGATAGGGTGGCGAAGGTCCCCTGGCCCCTGGGCCTGCGCGGGAGTGTCGCTGATAGCAGGTGGCCCCCCCGTTCCCCCGCTCCCTATCTCCTGACATTCAAGAAAACAAAATAAATAAAACAGGCATAACAAAGATGCAAGTATACACAGAAATGTGTGCAGATGGGACTTTTTTTTTTTAGTCTAAACTGTATCCTTTTTGACAGGAACAACAGCAGGCTGGGGAATGGCGTGCTGTACGCTTCTGTGAACCCAGAATATTTCAGCGCGGCGGACGGTAAGCTGCTCCGCTCGCTGCGTGGGGGTCCCAGATCGGGGAGCCTTTGGGAGGGTTGCTAATCCAGGAGAGGTTGGCATTATTTCGAGGTCCCTTTGGCTGCAGCTCTGTCTTTGTTAACACTTTTTTTTGTCATCAGAGTCTTTTGCGGTTCCCTGAATATCTCAAAAATTGTGGCCTGCTTGGGGTGCCCCAAGAAAAAACAGGCTTCAGAGCTGACTGTGGCCGGCACAGTAATCTGTTTGTTTAATGGCTTGAGATCTTATGCTGGAATGAAAAAAGCTGTTAAATTGTTGACATCCAGGCAGAGGACATGCTGCAGCTGACAAAACAGACCTTTTCTTGAACTAGTTTCAGCCTGAGCTTCATATCTTTATAATTGCCTTTGATCACTTAGGCTTCCCTGCATTTTTTTTTTCTTTTTAATCTTGCAGTTTTTCTGTTCATTCCCTCCTGACTGGGGCTATAGGATTTATACCCTCACGGCCCAGTCACGGTCCCTTTGGGAAATGACTGATGAGGGCCATTTGGTTAAGTGGCTGAGAAGGTCCGACTTGGAAGTTGGGTTGTACTCAATTTTTTTTTTCCTGTCTTTTCTTCCTAGCGGACCTAAATCCAAGCCTTGAAAAGTCAGCTGGGGCAGGGCACCGGCCAGCGGGTCCGTTGACCCTAATCCCATTAAGTGGCACCTTGCTCTGTCCCCTTTGGTCCTGTAAGGTGGACGTGCATGTGCCCGTTGCCCCGTCGCTGAGGGAAGGAGCCTCAGAGGAGGGGCTTGCCCAGGTCCCGTAACCAGGCAGCTGAGAAGTCAGGACCCCACACAGGCCTGGCATCTTGCTGGCAGTGCAGGGCGGTCACCGTGGCAGAGGACTGCGAGGTCCTCGGGGGACAGGACACTGGCCCGCGGGAGGGGCTGGATCGGGTTTGTGCCATGAATAGATCAGAGCGTTAGATCAGGGCGTAAGATCAGGGCGAGATCCGCGTTTGCCTCTTTCGAGCTCCAGGGCCTGGGAAGGGGGAGATGCAGGCGATGCGAACGAGAGTCGCGATTTTTCTGGTCAAATCAGAAAATGTGTGGAAACACTGTAGCGATTTAAAAGCACCGTATCCATATACACTTACTGTGATTTCTTTTAATAATTTCAGATTCAGTTATGTTTACATTAAAGACAATCAAAAGCAGCCGCCTCTGAAGGGGAATCCAGGGCAGAATAATAAGGATGTTATTCCTGTTTATAGGAAGGTCTCACAGTGTTGTATTTTTTTTTTTTAAGATTTTATTTATTTATTCTTAGAGGGGAAGCGGGGAAGAGAGGGAGAAAAACACTGATGTGCGAGAGAAACATCAATCAGTTGCCTCTCATGTGCCCTGACTGGGAATCCCACCAGCGACCTTTCGGTTCATGAGACAACGCCCAACACTGAGCCAGACCAGTCAAGGCAGAATGTTTTATTTTAAATGGGCGCGCACGCACGCGCACACACGTGCGCGCGCGCACACACACACCCCCCATGCCCTCATGTAGGTATATACGCATATAAAACATAAAGAACCTTCTGGAAGGATACATACCCAACTTAAAAGAGCAGTTACTTGTGGAGAGAATCTTTTCCGTTAAAAAAAAAAAGAAACAAGATTTTTATCCACTGTTTGTATCAATAAGAGCTTTAAAAAAGAAATTAAGTGTAAGGTAAGAAGTCAGCACACACTCAGTGAGATTTACAGGGGAAATGCAAGGCCATGGCCCTTGTCTGTAAGGTCAGGACAAGGCTGTTAGAGAGTCTGCTCTGCTTGAAAGTAGAGCCACGCGTGGCTCCCGTAGCGTTGAGCATGAATCCTCCGGGGAGTTTGGAGAGAGCGTTAAGTCAGTAATATCGGGCTCTAATGGTGATTGGAATTCAGACTTTTCCCAGAATGCTTTCACGATGCCTTGATTCCTCTTTTCAAACAAAACAAACCAAAAGCCAACTTGCCGTCACTCGGGCTGACAAGGGGGAATGCTGTTGTCTCGTCTGAACATAGCTCGTCTGGCCCCCCGACGAGCGCCTTGGGGCTGCTTTCCTCAAGGGGTGACCCAATGACATCGCAGCCCCAAAATGCTTCAAAGACTCCTTTGTCAGAAAAGTCACCTGCCTGTAACGTTCTCCAGGGCGCACTGGAAGCCCCCCACAGGAGGCGCCGAGAGCACTGTGGGCTGGGTGCCGGCTGCTGCCGGTGGGGCCGCGAGGAGGGGGCCGCGTGGACTCCAGGGACGGCCCCGGGAATGGTCGTGACGCGTGCCGATGCCACGTTTCGTGGCGCGCTGCATAGTTAATTCCGATCAGAAGCACGCCTGGCTTCTCAGAGATGAAAGGGTATATAGGCTGTGCCTCTGTCCCTCCTGGGGGTCTTGTGAGCATCTTGTCTGCCGGGCTCTCTCACCTGCCCCCTCTCTGGAGCAGGCACCAGCCCCTCCGTCGCGGCTGTAAGCCATCGAAGCCAAGTGGGGGGTCGACTTCCATTTGTGAAGTGTCTAAATACGTATGTGCTCGGAGATGGGAAAGTGTATATGGAAGAAAATTTTAGATTGACTGGTACATCCCCTATGGGACACTCCTCAGGGTCTCCAGGACTGGGGGTGTCTCCTGGGTCTCAGTTTTAAACGTTTCTCCTTAAAGACATCACTTAAAGGTAAATCCTCAGGACTGGGGGCGTGGAATACAGCTGCCAGCCCACTGGCCCGGGCACACCCGGCCAAGGCTGTGGCCAGCGTCCGAAAGCGCAGAAGCAGACAGGCGCCGGCCCAGGCCCTGGCCTCCCCGCGTTTCCGAGCCGGGATCGGCCCCTTCCTACCGCGCCGTGTGCCGTGGCGCCTGCCCCCAGAACGCCCCCCTCAGGCCAGGATGGCGGCATACAGCTTAAGACGCAGGTTACACTTGAGATTCTGTGTGGGGCTTATGGGACAGGTTGATCTTATTTTACTTTTCACCCTACCCTTCGGATTTGTGGAATGGATCCCGTTTTGTTTTCTTTCTTACCTCCTTTCCCCTTCCTTCCTGCCTTGGATTATTTGTTTGTTTATTTCCTTAAACCAGATGGAATCTGCCCAGAAGCACAGGCAGGAGAGGAAACCCTAGCCAGCCTCTGTCATGACCTCCCAGCCCCTCAGCACAGCAGTGGGGGGTCCCCCAGGGCACAGAGCCCAGGCCACAGCGCCGGGGGTGTACGCCTCTGCCCCTCAGGGTCCCTCCTCGCTGGTCGCCACTGAATGCCCCGCAGTGTCCGAGCTCAGTTGCCCCTGCCCCTGTGAGATGCCCCAGGTCGTCGGCAAGACTGGAGACACTTTGTCCAGACCAGACCAGTGCTGCCAGCGGACATACAATGCCAGCTCCGTATGTCACCTTACATTTTTCTAGTAGCTGCATAAGAAAAGTGGAAAGCAGGTGAAATAAACGTTATTAATGTTTTACTTCAGCCAGTATAGCAAAAGTATTATCAATTCTAATATAGGATTACTATAGACATTACTGAAATATTTATTTTTTGCACTCAGTCTTTGAAATACAGTGTGAATTTTATACCGCCTGCCTTAAGGTAGACTCCTTAGTGGTTCTTACTGTACGCTGTTAGAATCCTTGAATTTTCTAGACCCCCTTGATGATAGGAAACTGGAATTCGAGCGTACAGTTGCCTTCTGAGATCCACAGCATATGCGACATTTCGGAACAAGCCCAGTCCTTGTCCCCCGATGTCCTCCCAGGTGGGCTCTAGGAGCGGCGTCCTGTGCCCCTTGCCCGGAAGCTCCCCCCGCAGCACGTTCTGCCCGGGAGCTCGTGGCTACAACCATCTCAGCTCCGTCTCCCTCTTCCCTAGTGTACGTGCCTGACGAGTGGGAGGTGGCCCGGGAGAAGATCACCATGAGCCGGGAGCTGGGGCAGGGCTCCTTCGGGATGGTGTACGAAGGCGTGGCCAAGGGCGTGGTCAAAGATGAGCCCGAAACCCGGGTGGCCATAAAGACAGTCAACGAGGCCGCGAGCATGCGTGAGAGGATCGAGTTTCTCAACGAGGCTTCGGTGATGAAGGAGTTCAATTGTCACCATGTGGTAAGAGCCAGCCCCCGAGAAGGCACAACCTGGCTCAGGGAGGACGCGGCCCCGGAGCCCCCAGCGGGACCGTGGCCACCCTGTGGGTTTGGGGACTTGCCCCGACCTGGCCGCAGGAGTTCTCCCATCGCAGCCTCGCTGCGGCCTCGGGACGCCTGTGCTCAGTGAGGTCCGGGGCGTGACGCAGGCTCTGGCCAGGGAGCCCCTGGACGCTCCCGCGCAGGGCCCTGCCCCTGCTGGTGGGGGGCGGCAGTCATCGGCGCCCCTCGCCCCCTGAGCCTCGCTGTTTGTCATCCCCCCCAGGTGCGCTTGCTGGGTGTGGTGTCCCAGGGCCAGCCGACACTGGTCATCATGGAGCTGATGACGCGGGGCGATCTCAAAAGCTATCTCAGGTCTCTGAGGCCAGAAATCGAGGTGGGTTTTGATTTTAAACAGCTCTGCACGTCACCTGTGCTCTTCCCTTAGAGCCTTTCCCCAGAAACGGCTGCATCTTCCATCCACCTGCACCCACGGCTCCGGGCTGCATGCGTGGTCATGCATCCGCAGGGGGTCTGGTTACCTCCTGTGCTGCCGGCTCTCCCGAGGGTCCCCTGGAGGCCCGTGTCAGCGCCACGTCCTCCCCACGCCCACCCGCCCCGCCCGGTGCGGCGCCCCCTCCCCGGCCCAGCCTGCGGCGCAGGGCTGGGTGGGCGCGGGCAGTCTTGCACCGCACGCTTGTCAGAATCCAGTGTCGCCTTGACTGGATTGTTGTGCGGGGCTGATGTCCTACCCAGCTTTGTGCACAAGTCCCCTCCCCTTCCCTGTCCCCCAGTCTGTGCCTGTGAGACCAGGAAACGGGATTTGTCAAACTTGGCACCCGAGGTTCAGGCTCCCTCCGGAGCCCGCGTCTGGCTTGTGCTTCTGAATGGCAGGTGCCTCAGTGTCAGGGCCTCAGCTCCGTCTGGTAAAACGCACCAGTCTCCGGCATGAGCTTCAAGCCCTAAGCCTGTGGAAGTCCTGTGCCGTTTTTCATTGTCACCCTGGTGTCCCTTCCTAGGCCCACTTTCTGGTCACACGGAGGCATGACTTCTAACGGAGTAATTCTAAGAATAAACTGGTGGGTAGATACTTAGAAACGACGCCAGGAACATCTGCCTTTCGCTGGGCGGTCTCGTGGGCCTGAAGCGCTCGCTTTGACCCTGACTTGGCCACGTGCTGGGGAGGCTTTGTGGCGGCTGCTTGCGTTCCCAGGATACTGCCCCTTCTCCACCTCTTTTGAATGTCTGTACCCTGTCTCTGTTGGAGCTTAACCTCGTTTTCTTCTTTTAAATTATAGCTTAATCTTCCTCCAAGTAGTATTTCCTTAATTTTCACTCAGAGAGCCTGTTCACAAGTGGCTTCCTGAGTCATGGCAGAGGAGCCGTGTGGTTCCGGGAGGGCCGCGGTGTGGGCGGGGACCCAAGCTGGTGACTGGCATCATGCTTGCCTCTGCCCCACGCAGCCAGGGTCCCCATGGGCCCTGGACCGTAGTCCCTTTTCCCAGCTTACTCCATAGTTCACAAGCCTGTATGAATGAGAAAAGCTCACATTTTAGACAATTTTTTTCTAAGTAGGTTTATTATTTGCAGGTATTTCTCTTGAATTCCAAATCCAGTAGGTTGTCCCCCTATATAAAGAAGAAAGGCTTGTCTAAGTTTTATGTTGGTCCCCTCTCCAGAATAAGCTTCAGCTGGACTTAAATTCATTGTCGAATGTTTGCGTTCCTCATTGGCCATACAGAATAATTGTCCATGGAATGCCACGTGGTCAGGTGAACAAATTAATCTCGACATTTTTGTACTTTAGAAGAAAAATGAAGAGAAAGGAAAAGATTGCATTTATAGAAGTGCCCATTGTGGGTAACGACACATACAGTGTCGACTTGGGAAACATATTTGCTTATTTCCACACAACCTTTGTCAAGCTCTCTCCCTCCTGTGACCTGCACTTTGATTATAGAAATAAGAGGAACATCTAAACAGACAGGAATCTTGAGTCACCAAGAATTCTTAATATCATGCATTGCTTGTTTCACTGTAAATAATTTTTGCCTGACTTAAGATGGAAAATGGTGGTCCCCGGGTGGGCTCACTGGTGTCTCTCCGTAGCTCTGTGTGATGTGGTCGGCCAGCAGGTGCGTGATGTGGCCACAAAGCAGGTGCTATGGCGTGTGTCATAACACATTCCTTCTGAACAAGCCCCGATTCCTCAGCAGAGTGACCTGTGAGGCTCGGATCAAGCAAAGCTGGATTTGCAAACCCTGAAAGAACATGCGGTGGGAAAGATGCCTAAACCGTCACGTGAATTTTTTTTTTTTGACTTTCGAACAGAATAACCCCGCTTTCGCGCCCCCGAGCCTGAGCAAGATGATCCAGATGGCGGGAGAGATTGCCGACGGCATGGCGTACCTCAACGCCAACAAGTTCGTCCACAGAGACCTTGCCGCCCGGAACTGCATGGTGGCCGAAGATTTCACAGTCAAAATCGGAGGTGCGCAGGGAGCCCACTCGCATGTGTTTTAGGGACCCGCTTGGCTGTGGCCTGCCTGTGGGGGGGCTTCTCCAGTGCCTCCTTTGAGTGTGAAGGCTTGTTCTGGGGAATAACGCCGTCGTCGCCGGGTGACGGTCGGTCACAGACCCGGCCGGGCCAGCTCTTGTCCCGAGAGCACGCGGGCGCCGCGGCCCGGAGTGGGCACGGCCGAGCGGAGGCCGGGGGCCCTCAGGTTGCCTCTCCTGGCATTTGAGGCATTTCTGGGCAGAATACGTCTAAGCACTGGTTACAGAAATGACTGAAAGGGTGTCCTCGGGTACCTTTAACCTGGGAATAAAAGTTGTCATCCAGCCCTGTCTGGGTAGCGCTGTTGGTTAGAGCGTCATCCCAAATGTCAATGTTGAGGGTTCTGCCCCTGGTCAGGGCACGTACAAGAAGGAGCCAATGAGTGCGTCAGTTAAGTGGACCAACAAGTCAGTGTCTCTCTCTGTCTCTCAGATCAATAAAAAAAAATTTTTTTTTAAACATTAGAAACTAAAATTAACCTCTTTTTCTAGCTTTTGAACTGTCTGTTCTAGAAATGCCCACCTTCCTTTAGCGGCATTTTTTTTCTTTGGCCATGATTTTGAGTGAAATGTTTTGGCCCTTTCTTGGACAGTGGCGATCCCTCTAGAATGGTTTCCAAGTGAGGGGTTAGTATCCACACTGTTCGTTCGCAGTTGCCAGAGGAGGTGGGCGGAGCCACATCATAAAGCAGACGACCCTTGGTCATCGGCTGCTCGGTAGGGAGCCGCCAGTGTGTCCCTGGACTCGGCCCCTGGAAGCCTCCACGCATTTGTTACCCTTGAAGCTCGAGGGACTGTCCTGCCCCTAGCTTCCCAGGGAGAGCCCCTCTGGCTACCACCTGGGCTCCCTTTGTGACCCCCACTCACTTCCCCTTCTGTCCCCATTCCCCTCACTTCTCTGTCCCCACGGGGATGCCACCTGCTGCCCTTCCCCAGCGCTGGGAGCCACGCGGGCTTGGGCTTCAATCCTGGTTCTGCCGCTAATGGGAAAGAGCTTGGGGCAAGTGGCTTATGTTCTGGGAGCCTCCAGGTCTCCAGCTCTGAAGTGGGAATGGCCACCTAACAGACTGGGAGGTGGCAGGGTGGGTGGCGGCAGGGGCACTTGCCTGGGCGGCCAGGCTGTCCCTGTCAACATCCCCCCCGTCCCCTTCCTGGCACCCGAGGGGGCACGGTTCACGCTCCCTCCCTGCTGCCAGGAGTGGGTGGGCCGTAGTGTCACTTGCCCTTTGAAGTCCAAGTTTCCAGGGACTCTGTATTTGCTTTTTAACCACGTGGCATATTTACAGTGATATTTTCTTTGCACATGTGGTTTTTCTCCTAAAAATCCAAAATTCTTTTGTGTTGGAGGAGACGGTATATGTTCTCAATTTCTTTTCTCTTCTTTTTTTTTTTTCCTTTTGAACAGATCAAGGCACAGCCTCTGATTTGCATGTGCCTGGATTCATTCTGAGATAAGACTTTAATTTCGGTTTTTCACTAGTGCCCAAAACTGTGTTTCCAGGGCCCAGTGTCTCACGGACTACACATCTGAGAATCATACCAGAGGCCACTCGACGGCCCTTCTAGTACAAGTAAATTACATTGGTTACCATCCAAGAAGCAGGGTGCGGTTTGTGCCCTCACCTTTCTGTGGCCGAGTTAGAGACGTGAAGGGGCGTTTTCGAAAGGAGAGCGGCCTTTTCTCCTGGGAGGGAGCGCGGAAGCGTCCCTGTACGAAAACATTACATCACTGAGTGGGAAATCAGTCTGACAAAGAAGTAATAATTTAGGATTTTAAAGCAAGCCTGCCATCAAACATAATTACGTGACATCTTCTAGAGACATGGAAAATGGAAGAAATTTTCCGAAACGAGTGGGAGGATTCTGTTGAAAAACATTATTGGGTAATAGCGTCAGAGGCCTAGTAAATAGCATCTCTCAGGAGTCTCCTGGTGTCGCTTTTTCATCGTGATTCAGAGCTCAGTGCTCTCCCCCGTACTAGACGGTGAACCCGCGTTCCTGTGGCCGTGGAGCGGTGCTGTCAAGTAAATAAGAGTCCGCGTGTTCCTGCTTCTCCCCAGGCTTAAAGCCACGTACGAATGACCTCTGGTCTGCGCAGTACATGTTTTCTCGATGATTTGTTAACTGCCTCTTGTTTGAAATGCAATAAGGGATTAACTTTTTTTAAAGGCTTTATTTATTTATTTTTAGAGAGGGGAAGGGAGGGAGAAAGGGAGGGAGAGAAACATCAATGTGTGATTGCATTTTGTGCGCCCCCTACCAGGGACCAGGCCTGCAACCCAGGCATGTGCCCTGACTGGGAATTGAACCGGCGGCCCTTTTGGTTTGCAGGCCAGCACTCAGTCCACTGAGTCACAACAGCCAGAGCACTTTTTAAAAGAATCAAGTCCTAAGAGTATTTAGGAGCAGAGGTTTCTAGGTTGTTGCTTGTTACATGGGCACTCACTCAGCTCTTACTGTTCCCGCCGGTGCGGCTGCAGACAGTGACACGCGGCCCCTTTAAGTGTGCCGCACCCTGGACGTGGGTGCGGGGCCCCCCGCAGCGGGGATGGCGCGTCTCTGCTTGTCCCCTGAGAGCTGCTCCGACAGCATTAACTCCTGTGCCTTCTGTCCGCCTCGCAGATTTCGGCATGACGAGAGACATCTACGAGACAGACTATTACCGGAAAGGAGGGAAAGGACTTCTGCCTGTGCGCTGGATGTCCCCCGAGTCCCTCAAGGACGGCGTGTTCACCACTCACTCTGACGTCTGGTATGAGACACCTTCCCCGGTGTGCGAGCCCCTCCAGCCTCCCCAGCTCCCGCTGGCTCGGTCTCCATGGCGTGATTTTCCTCCTATCTCCTGCTCCTTGTTGCCCATTCCCTGCTTCGGCTGAGTGGTGTGTGGACTGCACTTGGTCGCCGGGGTCTCCCTGTGGTCAGTGGGCTAGCGCAGGACAGGCGGCCCTCGTGGGATGGACAGACTCTGCGGGACCCACGCGTCTTGCAGTCCTCAGCGGCTCACTAGGTGGCCCCTTGCCCTCAGCCCGGGAGCCGGGGCACGCCAGCAAACCGCCTCTCTGCCTGCCCCCGCCTGCCTTCGCTGCTTTTATCTTTCGCAATAAATACTCACTGTGTGTTGGCGGGGAGGGGGCGCTGCCTCACTTAGACCCCCAGTGTGCAGACGCTGCTCTATCTGGGCCCAAAGCTTAAGAGTCTTGAGGTGTTTTCCTGCTGGTCCCGCTGCTGAGGGTCCCCTTTCCATGGGCCCCCATTTGGTTGGCCCAGGCACGGGATGGGGAGAGAATGATGGAGCGGACACTCCCCCGCCGAGGGGGAGGGGACTCGCGGTGGGCTGCGTATGGCGCCTCCTCGGCGACCCTGCGGCCAGGCAGTCAGGCTCTGACACGCAGCCGAGGGTCTTGGCAGGCGAAGGCCCGGCACGTGTGCCTTGCGGTGCGTCAGCTGGTGCTTGGCTGTCCCTCCGGAGGCCCTGTTGCTGAGGCGCCACGGAAATGGCCGCTGTTTACTCCAGAGCTCTGGGTGACACGTAGGGGAGGTATTCAGCTAGCGGCCGGCATGACTTTTTGTCAGGCTCGTGAACCTTCCACAGTGCGGGGGCCTTGGGTCCTTCTTGTGGAGACAGGTGCAACTTGGAACTAGCGCTCGGACGTGCCCTGGGAAGGCGCGACTGCTTCTTGGGCTCGGCTATGAGGTGTGCACTGCGGTCGGCCCATCCGGGGTGGTTATCTCTTCACTGTCGGATCGAAGCGCTGGACATCAGGCTTTGATGCAGAGGGGGTGGCCTGTGCTGGGAAGGCCCCTGCATCTGGCAGATGACATGTATTCTCTCTCTCAATTTGTTTTCCAGTAGTTGGGGCCTCTCAATCAACAGGCAAAGCTGCACGCATGGCGCAGTCGCTCACGGCTCGTCCTGCTAACGTGATTCCTCAGCCGCCCCCTTTTCTGTCAGCTCGACTCTGTACTAAGGACTTTCCCTGGCCTGTGACCGCCCGTGCTCAGCCAGTGGCACCCTGCTTGGCCCCCCCCCCCCCGCCTGTGAGACCGAGCCCCTCTCAGGCCGGCCGCTCCCTGGCTCCTGTGGGGAAGGCTTCCTCCCTCCCTGGCCCCACCGGACCTGTGAGGTCCCTGTTGAGCTTTCCCACACCCCAAGGCCTGGCCATGACCCCGACCTGAAACCAGCGAAATCGGAACGTCCGTGAGCGGCCCAGGGAGCAGAATTAAAACTTCACTAGGTGATCCCATTATGCAGTGAGCACTCAGAGCTGCGGGCTAGCGGCTTCCCAAACTGGGAGCCGGTTGAACAGCTGTCCCAGGCCATGGGAAAGGTGCTGACTCTGTCCTGGCAGGCCCTAGGGATCCACACTTCGTTATTGTAGGAGCATGTTTGGAGACGGCCCTACCGGGTAGATGGCTGGGGGCAGGCCCCACCTTGGCCTGCCTGGGGTTCAAGTTCAGGGGCCCCTGAAACTCCCTCCACTTTAGCATCCTCAGCTCCGCCACCAGGGCTGCACGGACTCTACAGGAAACACGGCTGCAGCGAATGAGGACCAACGGTCCACACTTAGCGCAGTGCCTGGCACACCATCCCCCACAGTGGGGCCGTTCTGGGGGCCCAAGCGGGAGAATGCCGGAGAGGAGGGCCAGCCCGCGTCTGTGCACCTTCCCAAGGCCCCCGCCTCTCTCCTCACTGCAGGTCCTTTGGGGTCGTCCTCTGGGAGATCGCCACTCTGGCCGAGCAGCCGTACCAGGGCTTGTCCAACGAGCAAGTCCTACGCTTCGTCATGGAGGGCGGCCTTCTGGACAAGCCGGACAACTGCCCCGACATGCTGTATGTATTTCCTGGGTCACAGGCCAGTAGTTGGGAGGGGCCTCTGGCGCGGGCCCAGGGAGGGGTTTCAAAGAGGCTCCTCGTGCGGACGGGTCCCGGGTCTTTGTGCGGGCACCTTCCTTCCACCCCATCTGACTTGCAGTTGGCCCTGTGGTTTCTGAGGCCAACATCTCCGTGCAATATTTGATGAAAGCAATCTTTACGCGTCTTTTCCACGCAACATTAAACAAACAAAAAGAAGGCAATAGCATGACACTGGTTACTTTTAAGCTGAAGGCCAGAGCCAGTTAGTGCACAAAGCTTTATGGTCAGGACACCTTCGTGCTCTGTGTAGGGTGAGTCTCAGACGTCCAGTGTGTTGCCCCCGCAGTGGGGTCCCCCCAGGTTCCGTCTCTGTCATGTGTTTACAGTCCTGATGAGCCATGTGCATGGCATGCTGTCCGGAGCCTCAGACAGGCCCCCGGTGGACCTGGAGGTCCAGCTGACCTCCCTGCAGACAGAGCTCTGCGCATGCACAGTGCCAGGTGCAGGCAGAGGGGTCTCCTCACCACTCTTCTGTTCAAAGAAAACCGTGCCACTTGGTTCCCGAGCGTGGTCGGCAATGACACCTGGCGGGCCTCACCGTCAGATCGTAGGGGAAGCCGCTCTGCTGGCAGAAGCGGGGCTGCCGACGGCAGGAGGGCCTTGGTGTCCCTCCTGCAATGAGCCACAGGAGGGTGTGAAGGCGTTCTGCGGCTGGGCGCCTGGTGCAGGCGGGGAGCTCGGGACTCACTGTCAGTATGCTCGCGACTGCAGGGCTGAGAGACCCTTCTGGACCCCGACAAGTAGCCAGTAGGCTCTGACTAGCGCCTTGAGCCCGATTTGGGAGTTTTCCAGAGCGCTTTTCAGGACAGGTTCAGCTACGTAGGGAAGGCAGCGCCATTGCATCAGTGTGACAGGTTGCATGTGACAGATTAGTGTACATTGCCTCAGATGATCAGGAGACAGGGCCCGACCATCTGAGCGTGGGCCTGGTCTGGGAAACCTGCCTGGGTCCCGGGCATGGGGGCAGGGCGAGGCCACCAGGGACGGGGGCTCCACCCCTGAGAGGGCAGCGCGTAAGGGGGGCCCTGGTTTCCCGGATCCCTCACCCACAGACCTCTCAGTATGCCCTCAAGTTAGTGCATTTTCTTGCCCAGCATGGACATTCGCTCTCCCCGCCTGTATTGGTTGCTTATTGCATTGTAACATTACCTAAAACCTAACGGCTTAAGACTACAATTAGTGTGTATTATGTCGCAGTTTGGGAGGGCTGTGCACCCAGGAGCCGCTTGGCCAGATGGCTGCGGTACCCGGGGTCTCCCTGGGCGACGGTCATCTGAAGGCCTGACGGGGCTGGGGTCCCCTCCCACGGGGACGCACCCGCGCAGCTCAGCGCCGTGTGAGGTGTGAGTTGCTCTGTGGCGCTGCTCCCGTGTCCCTGTGCCGTGCCGCTGGCTTCTCGCAGAGCAGGGCCCAGCCACCCCTTCTCTGAAAGGACGGAGCGCCAGCGTGTCCAGCCCCGTGGGCCCAGCCAATGGCGGCTGCAAACAGCCGCAGACATCACGTGAGCAGGCGTGGCTGTGCGCCAATAAAGCTTTATCTTTGCATTCTGAAATTTGACTTTCACATAATTTTCATGTCTCAAAATATTATTCTTACTTTGATTTCTTTTCAGCCAGTTACAAATATAAAAACCATTCTAACTTGTAGCCTTACAAGACCAGAGAGCAGGCCCGGCCTGGCCCACAGCCCCATAGCTTGCCCACCCCGTGCGCGAGTGCAGGGTCCCGCAGCTGGGCCGCGCCCCCAGCGTCCGCTGGGGCCCGCCCTCAGGAGGCGCCCTCCACGGCCCGCCGTCTCCTGACACGGGGTATGTGGCACGTGGCAGCCCTGTTCAGCGTGGGGGCAGATGGCAGGGGGTGCGACCACCAGCAGGTGAAGCCACTGGGGTCCTGGAAGCTGGTCACAGACACCCTGACTCCCAGTTCCCCTCAGGGTGACCGCTTTGCACTTTGAACCATGCGGTCGCTGTCCTGTCAGCCTATGATTTAAAAAAAACAACTTTAGAGCAAGAGCATAAGGAACAGCGTGAAGAATAATTGGTGCCCACCGAGTCTGCGTAGAAGCGTGCGTGCCCGAAGGGAGGCCAGTCCCCGAATGGGCGGTCTTCGAGCACGCTCACACGCGGCCCCAGAAGGCAGGCGTGCGACACGTTTGTGGGGTCTGGGGGAGGTGGGAAGAGAAAGGCTGTTTTTGAGCTTTCCCTCGGCCGTGGGGAAAAGACTGTCTCTGAGAGACCCGCGGGACTCCTCGAGTTGATCCGGCTCCAGGTGACTGGAGTCTTCCTATTAATTTAATATGCCCAGGAAGCAGCCCGCCTGCCGTGGGAAAGGCAGTGCGCTTCCTGTTCCCAGCACGGAGTGACAAGGAAATTTACGCAGGGTGGCTGCTCTCGGGTAGTAAATGTTTACGTCGGGGGGCGTGTCTGCCTTGCCATCCCGAACCCCCTTGGCAGGCTGATCTCCTTTCTGAGACTAGGACAAAACGAGGGTGGAGAAACTGCGTGCCCTCAGGACTGTATTGCTGAGCCTAGGTGAGCAGGAGGCGTTGGCGGGAGACGGTTCTTTTGTTACGAGAGAAAAGAATGGGCTCTTGTTTCTCCCGGAGCACAGGGATGTCCCTGAGTCCTTGGGAACTGCCTGAAGCCCTGCTGGGTGTCCATGGGGGCAGAAAACCGCTCGTCTTGCAGGTCCCAGCCATGTGAGCGGGACCCACAGGGTGACACTAGGTGAGGCAGGCGGGAGGCCCACGGTCCAGGCCCCTGAGAGCCAGGGCCTCTGCCTGAATTCACTTAGCGGGTGGCACGAGACCAGATTCCTCAGTCAGGGGTGGCGGCTCCTGCCCAGGTAGCCGTGGGACGGGCCCTCCCGTGGCATGCAGGCCCCATGCTTGATCTCTGCCCAGAGACGGGGTCCGTGGCGCGAGGGCTCCCACTGCCCCTCCTGGCCGAGAAGGGGTCCGTAAGACAACCCTGGCTGTGTGGGGCTGCCGAGGGGCTGGCGGAGGGCGCACCGAGCCTCCCGGGCCTTTCTGGAGTCGGTCTCTGCTGGACGGTCGCTCAGCGCTTAGACTGAGGCTGCGCTGGTGCGGGGCTGCGACGACCGCCTGCCGGCGCACAGCGGGGTCGGGGGACGGGCAGGCGGTGTGCAGGAGGGAGCGGGCAGTGCCGCGGTCCTCGGGCCTCCCAGGTCATGCGTGTCTGTGGGAGGCTGCTTCGCACGGAGCAGCAGCTCCATCTGGTCCTGCCCCTACCCAGGCGCAGGGCTGTGCACACACCCCTGAGGGGCGGGGGTGGGGGGAGCTCAGCGAAGGACGCTCCAACTCCCCAGGGCTGTCCGGCTGTAAAAAATGTGCTTTTCTAAAGAGGAGTTTTATCAGCTCATAAATCCTTCTAGAATCTACTGGAAAGTTTTCTTGTGGAAGTAGTGTAAACAAGGTCTCAGATCCCACAGAGTGAAAAGACTTCCTTTTATGGGCTGCTCTGGAAGGGCTGTGGCTCCGGGGTGGTTTGAAGGCGGCCTCACGTGGCCTGTGCGCGCTGAGGTCACTCACGGCATGCCCCTGCCGGTGGCACCGCCTCGACCCCTGGCCACAGGGGCGCAGGGCCAGGGCCCGTCATGTGTCCGTGACCCTGGCTGCGCTTCTCTTCAGGGTGAGTCAGCCAGCCAGCTCGGCTCCACAGCTGAGCCGCGGGAGAGTGTCGGGTATTGGAAGGGGGATCCTTTTTCTTAGGAAGTGGTGGGGGCATGTGAAGGGGGAGCTGCCGGTGTCTCGCTGCAACCTCCCCCCGATGACACCTGTGACTCTGGGGTGACACAGGAGAGGGAAGGGCTCCTGGTGGGACCGTGGATTCTCCTGTTCAGGTGGAGAGAAAATTCCTTCTTTGGAGGCAGATGGCCCTCAAAGTGTAGCCACGCTGTTGCCCCGAGGGTCCATCCCAGCTCCGCCCTCACTGCTTTGGGGGCCTTGCATCAAAGATTTAATTTCTTGGTACTTCTGCTTTCTTGTCTCAAAATGGGGCTCTTTTCTGGTGCACCTGCTTCCCAGATCCGTGAGGATGAAGCAGTTCAAAGTTATCACCGGACCCCAGGGAGAGCTGCCGAGGGCGCCCGCCGACACCGGCCCTCGTGGCTGCTGTGCTGGCGTGGCCGTGGGCTGTCCGGTGGTGGGGGGTGACAGAGTCCCTCTTCAGGCCTTGGCTAACTCTTCCCACCAGAGCTGGGGTGGCAAGCTTTTTGTTTAAAGGGCCACATAGTCTGTATCTTGGGTTCAAAGGCCTAATGGTCCCTGTTCTGACAACTCGCTTGAGAGCGGCCACCAACACGGGAAACACGTGAGCGTGCTTCAGTTGCAGCCAATCTCGATCTATAAAAGCACACAGCAGAGCAGGCGGAAAGCCTCACTCCCGTCCCCCTCCCCGCACCCAGGGTCCCGTGCTCTGCCACCTGACTTGACCTACACCTTTCTCCCCAAGCCTTTCAAGGTAGCAGGCCTGGCAGGCCGGGGCGCGTCCCCGTGGCTCATCTCCACAGAGCCTTCCCGGGGCCACACATGAGCAAGGCAGTCTCTCGGTCACGTGGTCACCGTGACGGGTGGCTGGAAGCCAACCTGGGGTGCTTTGAACTTGCTAGATATGAGGAGCTCTGGGTGGCCATTTTTGTTGAAAAGTACCTCTTTAGCCAGAAGTTTAAAAAAAAAAAAACAAACCAGAATTTTCCAGCAAGAACAAAAGTGAAAGGGAAGGCACTCTGCTTTCAAGGTCACGTGAGAAAGGGCCCTTCCCGGAACCGTGGCCTCTCTGTACCCCATGGGCCAGCCGGGGCGCGTTGGCTCGGTCGCCCTCCTTTCTGCGCCGGACGCCGGCTTAGCCGGCCCCCTCTGCATTCTTGTTACTGAGCAGTAGCCCCTTGTCCCACAGCCATTCTGAACCCTTGTCAAAGCCCTTCCTGGGTCAGGATGGCTGGCTGCGCCCCACAGCATGCTTCCTGGTCTCTGGGGGGCTCAAGCCCACTGCTAGGATGAATGACTTCCTGGGGCCACGTGACTGGGGGCCCCACGGTGGTCCGCAGCCCCGGCGCCAGGGTGGCCCAGCCTGTGAGCCGCAGGAGCAGCTGGGGCTTCGCACTGTGTCCTCTGCCTGCTCAGGCTCCCCCCACCCCCGCGGGCTTGGGGTCTTCTTCGGCACCGCAAGCAGCCTCCGCCTCGCGCTGGACGGCTGACGTGCCACATGCGCTCCTGTGGCGTGGCAGCCCCGTCACCTCGCGCTGGTCACAGGGCCCCCGCCAGTGGTCCCTGACCACACGGGGGCGGCTGAGAAACAGCCACGGTGGGACTGGAGGGAGGTCACTGTCGGGAGAGCTGCCATCACTCTCAGCCTCATCCGTGAGGAGCCAGAGGTCTCCTGCATTCCAGCTCTGGAAAGGATGCCCTGTCAGTGGCTGCCAGACACACTCCCGGTACAACGCTGGCTTTTTTATTAGTGCTGTCACCAATAATAGTCACTCGTGATAACAGACCTTGTGCACCTGCGTGTGTCCTGCTCAGGAAGTGAGAGCCTGGGTTTGGTGCGGGGGCAGGTCCTGGGGGATGTGAATGCAGCGGTGGGAGAAACCCGGAAGCAAGGGGCTGCTTGGGCCACCCAGGTGGAAAGCCAGAGGCTCGGAGAGGTGCGCGAGGAGGTGGGCGGCCCGCAGCCCCGGGAGCTCCGGGCCAGGTGCAGCCTGGCGCGTGGGCCCGTCTCCGACCGTCTGTCTGCCCGCAGGTTTGAACTCATGCGCATGTGCTGGCAGTACAACCCCAAGATGAGGCCTTCCTTCCTGGAGATCATCGGCAGCATCAAGGACGAGATGGAGCCCGGCTTCCGGGAGGTCTCCTTCTACTACAGTGATGAGAACAAGCCGCCCGAGCCCGAGGAGCTGGACCTGGAGCCGGACAACATGGAGAGCGTGCCGCTGGACCCCTCGGCCTCCTCGGCCTCCCTGCCGCTGCCCGACAGACACTCAGGACACAAGGCCGAGAACGGCCCAGGCCCTGGCGTGCTGGTCCTCCGGGCCAGCTTCGACGAGAGACAGCCGTACGCGCACATGAACGGGGGGCGCAAGAATGAGCGGGCCCTGCCTCTGCCCCAGTCTTCGACCTGCTGATGCGGGGACCCCGAGTCCCGTGCAGACAGTAACGTGTGTGCACGTGCGGCGGGTGGGGGGAGCGGGTTCTAACCATCTGTCCACAGCCTCCTGTACCTCAGTGGATCTTCAGAACAGCCATGCTGCCCACGGGAGACGGCTTCTCTGCAGTAAACACACTTGGGATGTTCCTTTTTTCAATATGCAAGCCGCTTTTTATTTCCCTACCCAAACCCTTAACTGACACGGGCCTTTAAGAACCTTAATGACAACACTTAATAGCAACAGAACACTTGAGAATCGAGTCTCCTCACTCTTTCCCTGTCTCTCTCTCTCTCTCTCTCTCTCGCTCTCTCGCTCTCTCTCTCTCTGTCCTTGTTCTCCCTCTCTCTGCTTTATAATGGAAAGACCATTTGCCACAAGCCCAGCCAGACGCCCTTTTTATCAGATTGAGGAAATGGCTGTCCCTCCCTGTGGTCCCATCTTGCTCCCATGCACACCTGCCTGTCACCGTAGGTCTTTATAAAAAAATGTTGCGATGGCATTTTTTAACTGTATCTTGAACCTTTTTAGGGACACATGACATTTACAAAGGGCCATCATTCATCCAAGGTTGTTACCATTTTAACGCTGCCAAATTCTGCCAAAACCCGGGACTTGGTCCCTCACGACCCCTGCGCTTGTTTCCTGGTTTCCAGAGGCACAGGGTGAGCACGGGCTCCGGTCACCTCGTGAGCGCCACGCTGGTGATGCCCTCCAGCTCATCGTCCCCTGGTGTCCTTTTCAAGTCTCACGTCCACACAGGTCAATTCGCTTCTGACTAGGCTGTGATTCGGGGGCACTGGACCGAGCGGGGCTTGCTGTCGGAGAGGACCGGGAGGGGCTGCCCTGGCTGCCCTGCGCCACCTCCCCGCCCCTCCTCCCGGCTCCAGTTCTGCAGCAAACGGGCCTTTTGAGGGAGAGCCTGGCACACAGGTCGCCCACATGCCAGTCTCCTGTCCCCCCCCCAGATCCCGGCCCCCTTGCCCCCAAGGACACAGATGAGAAGGGGTTTCCAGGGGCCGAGCCCAACTGTTCATGCAGGTTTGCGAGGAAAGCAATTCCAACAGCACCACAACAGTGAGAAGAAAAGCAGGAAATGGATTCCAGCATCCTAAGCTTTGTCGACATTTTCTCTGTTACTAGGACTTCTTCAAGGGTCTGACAGTTCTATGTTAGACCATGAAACATTTGCATACACATCGTCTTTAATGTCACTTTTGTAACTTTTTTACGGTTCAGATATTCATCTATACGTCTGTACAGAAAAAAGAAAGCTGCTATTTTTTTTTGTTCTTTATCTTTGTGGATTTACTCTATGAAAATCTTCAGGTCTACCCTTCTTCCCTCTCTGCTCACTCCAAGAAACTTCTTATGCTTTGTACTAGACTGCGTGACTCTCTTCCTCTTCTCCCGGTAATTGATACTTACAGAACATAATTTGCCATGAACTGGTTGATGCCTTTTTATAAGTCCACCCCCCCACCCCCGCCCCGCTCCCCTGGCCCCATTAGTTCTGTTCGAACTGGTAGGCTCTGTGGGCACGAGGCTGGCGAGGGAAGGAGGCGGAGAGCGGTTCCTCTCCTCAGCCGCCCTCGCACGGTGTTGGAGTCTGTTACCGCGCAAGACGTGACACAAACTCAGGTCAGACAACAGAGGTTAATCTTCGCATGTCCTCGTTCAGTGTTCCTAGTCACCGTTGTGGAAAAGCGTCCCCTTCTCTTTTCCCTGGCCTTTGTTTTGGTTGTGACACACATATACCTATTTTTTTAATTCTTGGGTACAACAGCAGTTTGAACTGCAGACACTAGGCATTTGGATTATTAATTTTTTTTTTTGGAAGTGGATATTTAATCCTTCCACCCTACGAAAAACAGCTGGCTGAGTCCAAGGGCGCAGTGGAGAGTGGTCCAGCGGTCCCTTTTGTGACCTTCCACCACCGCCCTCCCGGCCGACCTACCTGTCCTTAGAACCAGAAACTCCCCAGGGACCTTCTTGGCACAGGCAAGGAGCGGGGCGCAGGGGCGGCACCCTCGGGTGTTGGCGCACCCACCGCTGGGCTGGCCGGGACAGCGCCCCAGGCACAGTGGCTCCAGAGCCCGCGCTCACCCCTGGGGACCAGGGCCCTGGTGCTGGCCACCTCCCCTTGGCCAGGAATCCAAGTCCTCAGGGTCTGGGGGTCTTTTGTTTCATTTTTTAGTACTTCCCACCAGGGTGATGACAGCATAGAGTTGCTTCTGGGAAGGGAACGTCTCAATGACAAGAACTAAGCTCCAATATGATGATTGCTAGTTGTGACCAGAGTAAACACAGAAAAGAGTGCGTAGCGCTGTGTCTGCTTGTCAGCAGTTTTAGTCCCAGTGTTTTCTCTAGCCTCTGTCCCATAGTTTTTCCCTTTAAAAAACTGAGACAAAGATAAAAATTAATTCAGAAGGTATAATAGGAGTTTTAATTTATTTTCTGATTCCGGTTTCAGTCGCTGTAGAGAAGCCCCCTTGTGAATTTAAATATTGACAAAAGGGTTTTTTATGTGTGTCTTTGTAAGATGGGACAGTTTTTGGGTTTGTTTTTTCCAAGCATTTATCTACCTCACTCTTATTTTTTATATGTGTATATACAAAAAAGAGTACATCTCGCATTTCTCAGCACCTGACAATATGCTGTTGATACTGGTAACCTCATCTGCCCACAGGCCGCACACCGGTGACACAGGGCCAGGCCAGGCTGTATTCCGGGGTCGAAGCCACCCTTTCTCACCTCTCTGCTCGTTTCCAACAGCTTGCCTTTTCCTGAGATGTCTTATTTGCCGTTGCTTTTTTCTTCTTCTTCTTCTAACTCGGTTCCCTAAGAGGTTGTGAGGTGTCAGGATTTTCCCCCTCCTGGCCCGGCGCCCCCACACTTGGCTGGGAGGCGAGGGGAGCAGCAGAGCGGGCTGTCTTTGAAGCCAAGAGCTTCATGCAGACAGGATGACAGATTCTGTCACTGGAAGAGCAGTGGTTTCCCGAGTTTGGGGAGCAGACAGCCCCTGCTAGCATCCCACCTGTAAAGGCGCCATGTGCGCACCGCCCCCCCCCCCGTGCAGTCCTGGGCATGGCCTGTGCCTGGCGGGGACACGCTGTCCCTGTGCTGCCTGCACTCAGCGCTGCAGCGGCCTCTGCGCTCTGACAGCCCCACCCGCCAGGCTCCCGCCCTGGCACAGAGGCGGCTGACCTCCCAGCCGGTCGCTCCTGGAGCGCACGAAAGCAGGGCAGAGGAGTTCCCTTCCCCGCTCTAGGCTGTTCTCTCCATCCGCCTGCATGGCCGCCTCCCTCCCAGGGGAAAACAAAGATGTTCCAAACCTTCGGGTTGGGGGGACAGCGGTCAGCGGCACACCTCCTTCCGGGGCGTCTCACCTCCCGCCAGGCCGTGCCTCTGTCCCTCTGTCCTGCTGCTCACAGGGGTGGACAGTACATCCCCCGATCCCGACAGCTGGCGATTTGATCTGGGCAACGTGGTTGGGCTTTCCAAAGCGTGCGCAGCTCCCTGAAAGTTCTGGTACTGCAGCTAAGCTCAGGGGCATCTCCCCTCCTGCAAGAGCACTCTCCTCTCCTCTCCTCTCCTCTCCTCTCCTCTCCCAAGTTCCCTGGGACTTTACGGTCATTGAGAAATACTGCTTGATCAGGGTTCTCTTCTTCCACGCTGTAGGTGACCCCTTGGAATAGTGGCCTCTTTTCTCTTTTGCACATACCTTCCGGTTTCCACAACTGGATTTCTACAGATCATTCAGCTGGTTTATAAGGGTTTCATTTCAACTGTCTTGAGTTGTTGGTGTCCTTTTGTTCTTGTTTGATGTAGGTGGTTTTTCTTTAAGTAGAAAGCGAACACTAACAGTGTAGCGCCCATCGTAACAAATGCTTCAGAAACAAATAAAAGCGCAAAGTTTGCTTGCGTGATGGGGCAGTCATTCTACTGGACCAAACCACCCACCTGGACTCCACTGAGGTGTCATCTGTCCACAGTTCTAGCCTGATTTTGTGCTGATTTCCCCGCCGCTTCTGGATTTTTCTCTTTTGTATGCTTAATCAAGCTGAGTTGTGGCATTTCCCATGCAACCTCCTTCTGACAGCAGCTCACACTGCTTGAAGCGACATGAACCACTGAGGCACATCATTGCGTGGATGTGAGCATTAACACATCATCACACCCAGCCCTTCCCTGAGGCAGCAGGCGCTGGTGTGTTCTGGAGACGTTGTTGAACTTCAGCTGGGTGAGACCCAGACCACCCAGGTCTCCTTTATGGGATGGCGTGACATTTGACACGCAGTCGGAATGAACTTCCTCCTTGGAAGAGAGAAGACGGGGTTCACGGCCAACACTGGCCTCTCCTTCCAGCCTGTTCCTTGTGACTCGGAACGACATTTCAGTGGTAGGAGAAGTGTCTTGGTAAAATAGAAAAGTGGTTATTGTGGAACTACCCGACGGCAACATGCTTGGCATGGACTGTTGTGTTTTGGTTGGGATGACAGAGTCACGAGCCAAGCATGGCGCCGACCCCTAGGCCAGTCGGTCCCACCGAAGCCGCCGCCTCGGCAGCCCACCTCTGCCGGCAGGTGGCTGTACACGACGCTGGCCGCTCCAGGGGCAAGGCCACACTAGCTCCATGGTGGAGGCGGCTAGGATGCTCGGTCCAAGGTCCTCAGCTGTCACTGATGGGTCCTCCCGGGGTGGCCAGACGAGTGTCTGAGGCAACTCCTTTCCAGAACATGGGCCCCTTGCAGTTGACAGTACTCCTCCATGCCCTGCCCTCCAGTTTTAGCAGACCCAGTAATGCATTTAAGGTTTGGGGTTTGTTCTCTTGTTAATGTTACTCTTGTGTTTGTTGTCTGTCTTTTCATTTCTTGGGCTCAGCAGCGTTGGGAGATACGGACCAGAGATCCACTCTTTAAGAACCAGTGATGCAAGTCAGACTTTCTTACTCTGACATAGTTGGTACAAATGAGAACTTCAAGAAAGGATGTTGTTTAGATTGAACCTCTCTGTTGCCAGAGATGCTGAAGATACAGACCTTGGACAGGCCAGAGGGTTTCATTTTTGGCCTCCGGCTCAGATGACTAGTTGGTCATTTAGAAAACAAAAAAAGCAGATGAACCGTCCTTGACAGTGGAATGATCGGGCAGTAGGAACCATTCTGACAGGGGTTCTGACGTGATGGGAAGAGAAGAATTGCGAACAGAAGGGGGTGGGGCTTGGAAGCAGTGGGGGCCAGGTTTTGAACTCGATGGTTTCTTGAAGGTATCAGACCACATCAAGGCTCAAGAGTCATCCACGGGCATTCGTTTTCAACAAATAACCCTAACATTCTACATTGGAAACTGTTCTTGTGGAATTAGGACAAATTGTTCGAGGACACAAACTACAGCGCACTCGTCAGTGGTCAATTCTGGGGCATGGCTTTAGGGTTTTGTTTTATTTTGTGTGTGCAAGAACAGGATCACTCATCTGTATGGCCACGTTTGTGTGTGTCCACATCTTTCTGGTCAACATTGTTTTAATTAGTCACACATTAGCATTTTCAATAGGGCTCTTAAGTCCAGTAGATTACGGGTAGTCAGTTGACGAAGATCTGGTTTACAAGAACTAATTAAACGTTTCATTGCATTTTTGTAAGAACATAGAATAATTTTATAAAATGTTTGTAGTTTGTAATCGCCGAAAATAATTTAAAGACACATTTTTTCTCTGCGTGTGCAAATGTGTGTTTGTGATCCATTTTTTTTTTTTTAGGACACCTGTTTACTAGCTAGCTTTACAATATGCCAAAAAAAAAGGATTTTTCCCTGACCCAAGCCGTGGCTCACCCTCTTTTACCCCTACGCTTTGTGCCCTAGTGTATAACAAAGGAATGACGACGATTTAAGAAGTAGTTCTGTATCTTCAGTATCTTGGTCTTCCAGAACCCTCTGGTTGGGAAGGGGGTCATCTTATACTGGTCGTTTCCCTTTGGAGCATAGCCAGTTTCACAGACTGAGAGAACCTCATTGGCCAAGGAAAGAGCAGAGGTGTTGCAGCCCAAAGGTGCCTCCTCTTGGGCACCTGGTGTGGATGGCGTGGCTGCTGCACTGCTGTGCAAAGCCGAGACGGAAAGGCTGACGGCCTAGCTGATGGTGTTCGCAGTGATCACCGCATTCAGGCTCGTCACAGACGGCGGTGATGCTGGCGCGCGCAGACTGCTTGCTTACATGCCTCGTATCATAATCAGTGCTTTGTTATAACAAGGAAGAGAGCCTATTTGTTTTTAAGGCGACACAGAGGATACTTTTTTCTAATGCAGAACAAAGTTCTTTTTAATAAAAACCACACACACAGAAATGTTTTTTTTTTTTTAAAAGTTTGACTCCATTTCCTCTAGCTCCCAATGGATTATGGGCCATGTCTACATGACTCCACAAAATCCCCATCATTGGCAGTGTGGGTGTTTTGCACAACATGGGAGAAAGTTCCAGAAACAATTTGTTTTCTGTTTTCAACTTTGCATTTGGATGTTTGGTGTTGCGTAGACACATCCACAGGTGGAACAGATGCTTGGCAAAAACACCTGTTGCTTTCTAAGCCAGTGAGGTTGAGGTGAGAGGTTTGCCAGAGTTTGTCTACCTCTGGGACAAAATTTAAAAAAACAAAAACAAAAGTCAAACCAGAAGGCGCGATGGAATGGATGCATCGCAAATAATGCATTTTCTCAGTTTTCTTGTTTAAAAAAAAGTTTTTTAAAAAAATTTTAAAAATACGGTAATTAAGGCCAATTTGTTACATAAGATGACTTTCTGTGTATAAATTATTCCTAAAAAAAAAAAAAATTTCCTCTGTTTATATAAAAAAAATCAGTAGATGAAAAAAAATTCAAAATGTTTTTGTATATTCTGTTGTAAGAATTTATTCCTGTTATTGCGATATACTCTGGATTCTTTACATTATGAAAAAAAGAAACTTTGTCTATTTTGAATGGCTGAAGCTAAGGCAACTTTAGTTTCTCTTACTCTGCTTTTTTCTAGTAGTTAAAGTACTACATGGTTTAAGTTAAATAAAAGAATTCTGTATGCATTTTTGGCCTCTGATTTTGTTTCCTCCTCCCCCTGGAAGACTTACCATGCTTCTGAGGCAGGGAAGCTGAGCTACGTGTGGCATGTGTGTTCACACATGTCACTTGGAGGTGTTCTGCGTGAAGGCTTTGCTTTATTTCTGACAGCTGAACCCTTTCAGCATGCAAATTGCTGGTGAAGACAGGAAGCTATTTTGTTTCTCACTCCATTAAATCAGCTAGAAAAAAAATCTGAATACCTAAAATACAGAAATCTGTACTTCAGTTTTTAAAAAAAGTTTTTTAACTTATTTGAGAGAAACATTGATTTGTCATTCCACTTATCTATGCTCTCACTGGTTGATTCTTGGATGTGCCCTGACCAGGGATTGAACCTGCAACCTTGACATATCGGGACCAGGGATTGAACCTGCAACCTTGGCATATCGGGACAACGCTCCAACCAACTGAGCTACCTGGCCAGAGCTGTACTTCAGTTATGATTGATTTGTAGACCTTTCCTACACGGGCCAAGGCAGGTTTGATTTGGAGGACTTTGGGGCAAAGGATGTGACCTCCACATTTCCACATCATTGTTCAGTGCAGCTGCTCAGAGGGGCGCGGGAGGACCGAGTAAGCACGCACAGGATGTGGCTTGCTGGAGGGGTTCGGAAACATTAGTTCCTTGAGAGCTGATGACCTCAGCCTGCCCCGAGGACTCTCTGATCCAGGCAACATTATCTTTGCCAGGGACAATGGTCATGTTAGGAAATGCGGATGCGTGTTTAAGGAAAACAAGCTGTTAATGTTCTAGAATCAGACCAAAGATGCTGAAACCCATCAAAATGACAAACAGATCATTCACTAAACTCTGATCATGGGAAATTATGTGGCAGTAACAAACTCAGGCCACTGGATAAGGGGCCCAATAGCAATGTGGAGACATCAGTAAATCAAAGGCCACGCCTAAGACCTGGTGATTCTCACAAGTATTTGGACCTAAAACAAAAGGCCTTTCTAAAAGGGGGGACTTGTGAGCTCGGTGTTGACCCTTGGGTTTTGCTCACCATTGTCGTGAAGTGCCAGGCCTTCAGGGGGCTGTTAGAAGATGACCAATGATGAACGGCAGGCGGTTTCCAAGGCTCCGGTGACGCATGGGCTGCTGGTGGGTGGACACAGGCATCTAGCGTGCCTCTCCCGTGTTCCCAGGCGGGCAAATGCTGTGTGCTGCACCTTCCTCAGGAGCAGCGACTTCTGAGGACGAAGGGCATCGGTCTTCAGAAGTGTTAGCGCCTCTCCCCACCGTGCCACTTCTTAAGGCCCCAGCCCAGTAGGGCCATGTCTGTTTATCCTCCCAGGTCGGACCCAGAGCCCATACCCGGGAAGGTGCTTGTTTTTACAGCGGCCACTCCTCCCTGACGGACTTGCACATCTGTCCCCTCATTGGATCTCTAACCACTGCGCAGTGGAGGGACTTCTATTAGTTTTACAGATGAGCAAAGAGGCACGGGTGCCCGGGACCCCTGGCTATTAAAGGGCCAATCCCAGGCTCCGCCTTCTGAGCTGTGGTTTTCACACTGGCTTAGAACTGCCACGCAGTCCTAGCTAAACAGGCCCCTGTTTGTATTAACAGGGGATGGCAGGCCACTGGGGTTCTCCCTAAAGAATCTCAGAGGCCACAGAGAGGAAGTGACACGTTCCTGAAGAGAGAGCTCTGGGCCTTCCAATCGGATGGTGCTGAAAATTTTGTGACACATGTTTGGTTTAGTGCCAAACAATCTGAAACAGGAGCCGGGCCCAGTGACCCCCGTGTGCCACTGTCCTGAGACAGAGCTAGAATGAGGTGTGGGGGAGTGGGGGAGTCAGGGGCTCTGGGCAGCATGTTTGCCAGCAAACCCTAAGGGGTCTGCACACCAACACCCACGCTGCAGGCCCCAGGCACGCGGGCCAGGCCACGCCATGCCACGCCACCCCCTCTTGCCGGCTTTGATATGCTACACCGAGACTTTCATCTATGTCACATGATCCTGTTTCATTTGCAAAGGGGGCCTTGTAAAGCCTATTCCAAATGCGCAAGGATGCTAGAGGGCTCACAGTAAAACAAGCCGGGCCTGCCAACTTCCTTTGTTGTTAAGCTGCAGGTACTTTTCCTCATAACGAAGGAGTCTAAGCACTAAGTGATAGTTTTTAAAATATAATTACGTGAAAGATGATAGTTGTGAGCGCACCAAGATATCGAGAAATTTCGCAGAGCTTAGCCACCTTCGACCCTTTCCGACATGTTGCTAATGGGGTTCTGCGTGGGAAAACTGGCTCCCAGAAAACACTGGACAAATAAAACCTTACCACGAGCCAGCGCAGTGTCATGAAAGCAAACTGAAAGATGAAAAGGGGACAGGAGGCAAACCTAGCTATTAACCTTTGTTTTCAGACCAGGCGTCACCTGTAGAAATATAAAGTGGTGTGGCTGCCCAGGGAAACAGTATGGCAGGTCCTCCAAAAGTTACGCCTAGAATTCCCTCGGTTCAGCAATTCCACTTCTAGGTATATACCCGAAGGACGTAAACTCAGGGGCTCTGAGAAGTGCACACCAGTGTGCACAGTAGTAGTCGTCACGCTCCCCAAAAGGCGGAAGCAACCCAATGACCATCGGAAAAATAAACGGATAAGCAAAAATGTGGTCTATTCGTACAAGGAGGTACTATTCAGCCTTTAAAAGGGAAGAAATTCTGATGTGTCTTACAACATAAAGGAACCTTGAGGACAAGCTGAGTGGAGCAGACCAGTCACAAAGGGACAAAGACTGTGAATCTATTTACATGAGGCCCCTAGAAACAGAAGGCAGAGTGATGGCGACTGGGGTGGGGGGGGGCGGTTGGAGATGCTGTTCAATGGGCACAGCCTTTCGGTTTGGGAGGATGAGAAAGTTCTAGAGATGGTGGTTGCTCAGTGAAAGTGCATTATGCCACTGAGCACGAAAAAAATGGTTAAAAGGGGAAATTTTTTGTTACATGTACTTTACCGCAATTAAAGACAAAGCTGGAAAAGGAAAAGGAAAAACAAACACTTGAGACTCAGTGGCCCAGAAGCTGCCCACAGCACCTGGATGCAGGAGCTTGGAAGCCAGGAACGGGGCACCGAGGGGCGGCCACCCCGGTACGTCCCCATGGCCAGCTGGTCATGGGTCAGCCCGCCACCTGGGGCTCCGCAGCACAGGTCTGCGGACCCAGCAACCCGGGCAGGATCACACAGGCCCGCTGCCTCATCTTTTAAGAAGGAAAAAAAGTGTATGAGGATATCATTTTATTGTCATGAAAACCACAACTGAAGCTAGTTAATCCCGTATAACATGCCTGCCTTTCAGAGTGTCCTCCTGCCTTCTGACAATAAAATGATGCTGTGATTTCACTGGGCTAATTCCCTTTTTTCCCCTCTGTGTAAACTGTTTTACAAGCAATTTTTTTCAAACCCCAGTTGAACGCTTCACAACACAGGACTGAAACGTTTGATTTGCTCTAAAGGAGCAGTTCTCCAGTTGCTTCTCGGGGGCTGGAACCACTGAGGCAGACGTTTCTGTGACCCGGGCTTAGAGCTGGGGCTTCCTCGCCCTCCTCCAGCATCTCCTGGATGATGGCTCGCAGCGCTTTTCCCAGCAGGCTGGCGGGGAGCCGCGGCGATAATGGAGGGACGTGGATGAGTGCCGCGCACCCATTTCCATGATGCAGAGACAGGTAGTAGGTGTAATCGCAGACGTACCTGCAACCGCAGGAGATGCCAGATCACTCCTTGGACCAGCCGCTGACCACAGCGGAAGGTCAGCGGAAGTGGCGATGCAGCATTCCCCACACATGGGGGAGGAATGCCATCCGGGGAGACGAAGGGTTTGTCCCTGCGCCTCGGAAAGAACATGTTCCTGGGAACAAGCTGGGGAGACACTGGCTCTTGGCCTCATGGTCTCAGAACCAGCAGGTGGCCGAACTGGGGAAGGACCAGATTTTCACTGAACACATTTAACCCGTGAACTCCTCTCATTTGCCTCTACATTCCTTTTTTTGGTTGCGGGAAGGAGAAACTGCCTACTGGGAGTCAGAGTGCGGAGAAACAAAGGTAAATGAACCTCTATCTGGGGTACATCAGAATCCTTCAATCTCCACTTCGGCGGCAATACATAAAAATAAAGCATCCACAAAATGTTAGTGACTCTCAAAATAACGCTTTCATATCTTTTCTCTACCGACGCACCAAGGCGCATTAGGGGGAGGGGACCCCAGGCTGGGCTGCTGGGGCTGCCCTAGGGTGACGCCACGTGACCAAGCACCCCCCTGGTAGGCACAGGGGGCGGCATTTTAGCGGGGAACAGGGACACTCCGCAAGAAAAATGGGTGGAGGACACTGCAGCCATCCTCTCCTACCTGCATCATGATGCGACAGAACGTACCTGCCCGCATCTCGGGAAAATGCCACCTCCACGCCCTCCACCGCCACACGCCTGCTGACCGCCTTCATGCTGACCCGAGACTCCAGCACTTCCGGGCCACCCGGAAGGCACGTGCCCTGCTCCGGCCGGAAGCCCCGGACGTCGGCCTCGCGATACCCGCGGTTCTTGCCGCACTGTTCGAGAACCACGGCCTTGGCGGCGGAGTCCAAGCCCACGTGCACGGCAAGCTGTGTGAACAGGTGACAGCAGAGCGTTGAGGGAAACTGAGGCTGGTTTGTCACCAGGTATCACGGGAGGGCTGGGCAGAGGGCGAGTGCAAGGCGGCAAAACCTCTCAAACCCCAACTGCGCATGCTTTCTAGATCCTTCTGCCGCCTGCCCGCCCTTCCCCTAATTAATATGCTAGATTGGAAAAGAGCTAGAGGGAAGACCAGGGCATTGCATTTAAATGCTTTCATATTTCAAAGTATTCTTAAGTAAGGTAGAATATTCCTTTTTTCCCCACTGCGGGGTGGGGGGCCAGCGGGTATCCGAGTCCACAGGGGACTCCGCGTTGCCGCGGAATCGTTTCTCTTTGACGAACCGCTAACGCAGCAAGCTAGTAACAGCGTTAACACAATAGCATCAGAATTTTTTGAGCTTATTATTTTTCCTCTGGAAAAAAATAGCTCAGTGTTTTATCAAAACATTTGGGGCATTGGCTGAATGGTTTGGAGGTATATGTTTTGTTAATCTCGTCATCTGGTCGCCTTTTTTTGTTTGTTTGTTTTTTGGATACTTATACCAGTTTTTTTTATAGTAACTGTTCAGGTAGAATCAGCTGGGTGCAATGAAGGGGGGCCCTCCCCGGGTGGGCTGCTCTCTCACCTCCCCCGGGTCCACCTTCCAACCGCTCTCCCAGGTCCTAGAAGTCCTGGCTCACCTTCCCTGCATAAGCATGGCTGAGAGCTAACCCCAGGGCCTCTGTTAGCTGGTACTTATCTTTTGATTCCTGGCTGGGAAAAAAGCTTCATTTTCTTTTCCTCCTCTCTCTCCAGCATCTTCTTCCAAAGTCTACCCAGTATGTCAGCCTAAACGTTTAGAAACAGGCCCAGAACCTTATAAAATCTGCTGGGCCCATAGTGGTGGGATGCCGGGGTGGGGTGCACTTCAGCCATCAGCCCTAGAACTAGGGGCCAGGGGTTCGCAGGCTCTGGGGCTCCATCCCATCCTCAGCTCGCCCGGCCCTGCTTCTGCCCCGCCCCCCCGAGACTGGCTCTCCAGCCATTTTTTACTTGTGGTTGAAGATCTTCCCAGATTCTCATGACTCTCTGCTTCACCTCCCTGTAATCCACCGGCAGCTGAAAAGTCCGCAGCTCCATCTCCACGTCACTCCCGAGGCCCAGCGTGGAGAGTTCCTGTAGAAAGAGGCAGGCACACTCACTCTGCTAGATGGAGGGAGCATCCCTGAATAGCGAACATGTGGGGCTTTCCGTCCCACTCCCGGGGCGTCCTCTGGGCCCCAACCGTGCCCTCGAGGTGCTCCCACAGTGGCGAGGGGCCCCCACAGTGGCGAGGGGCCGGCGGGACACCCAGGGTTCCTGCCCCTCGAGGCCCCCAGAAGCTGCCCCGGTGTCGCGTGGGTGCTCCAGAGGCACATCTGACCCAGCCTGCAGGTTAGGACATAGTTCACAGACGGGGCAGTTCTAAGGGATGCATGGGGTGAGCTAGATGAAGGAGCTGGGGAAGGCAATGCCAGGAAGAGGCCACCGCAGAGGCATGGGGCGGGGCCTGGGGGCGGGGCCTGGGGGCGGGGCCTGGGGGCGGGGCCTGAGGCCTTGAGGCCAGGACTGGGCATTTGGCCTGCCTGGACTCCCGTCTCAGCATTAGCAGCCGGGGGCGCCCCCGGGTATGTTGACAGGCCAGCCGCCACCACCACTTGTGGCAGGGAGCACCGGCACTGGGGGAGGGATGGGGACAGAAACTGCAAAAGTCTGCGGAAGTCAGACTGAGCGCTTAGCTAAAGGTTGGATTTTCTCCTCAGGGAAGCAGGGAGCCGTCAAAGGGCGTGCAGAAGGTGCGGAGGAGGCAGAGCAGCATCCCGAGAGGGTGGCGGTGCTGGGGGTATCGTGGGGATGATTTTGGACCTGCCGAGTCCAAGGGGGTCGGTCCCTTGGTTCTGTGCGTCTGGAGCTCAGAGAGGCTTCTGGGAGATGCAGGCAGGCAGGCAGCCAAAGCCGTGGGTTTAGGGAAGATCTGGAGGGAGCCCACCCGAGGTCAGGCAGCACCCTCTTTAAAGGGCAAAAGGAAGGGCAGGCAGGTTGGAAGGAAGAAGAGCAGGACAGCGAGATCTTAGCCTGCGCATTTCACTGTTGGCAACCGTGAAATCAGAAACGTCCCTGCAGGTGTCCCCGGGAAGGCCAAGTGCTCCTCCTGGGCCAGGAGCTGTGCTTGTCGCCAGGAGGGTGTGGGTCAGTACTTCCGTGCTTCCTGACCCCCTCGCCTCGCCTTTCAGGATACCTGGGAGTGTGCATCCTTGGATGGAGGGGGCAGCCGGGCACGTCAGGCCTGCCCGAAGTTTCCAGACGGGCGGCTGTGGCGCCCTGCCCTCAGCTTTGGAGGAGGCACGTGGGCCCAACCTGCCCAGACGTGGGTCTGCTGGTGCTGCTGTTATCGACGACGGCACTTCTGGCCGACTTGGGAGTCTCAGGTCTGTCCTTGGCCAGGCCCGCCTTCCTGAGGGGTGCTGTTTTGTCTTCCGGACACCACTCAGAAGCCCGGTTCCCTCGACCGGCTCGCGCTTTGCTCTCTTCCAAAGGTAAGGCCAAGCCCACATCCCCACTGGGGCCCTTGAGGGCACCGTGCTCAGTGGCCTGACCACAGGGCGGGGCGAGAAGGAGGCGGGGCATGCCGGACAGTGGCTTGGGGGGCGATGGAGGACACAGGCCAGGCTTCCAGGTGGGCGTTCCGAGGGCCAGACCGACCCAGGGGGTTCTGGGTCTTATGGTGCCACCTGGGTCCCTCTCCGGGAGGGAGGGAGGACGTGGGGCTGGGCATGGAGGCAGCACAGGCCCCAGCCTGTCCGCAGGCTCTCGGCTCAGGGAGTGAGGGCCGGAGGTGCTGCTCTGGTGTCACCTTTGGCTCTGCTGTGAGGGCGAGGAGACCGTGGCTTAGCTCAGGGCTGCTTCTGGGAACCCAGCCACCTGCCCATGCAGAACTAGTTTCTTCCGCCTCGGGAGTTCCCACAGGGTCTGGCTCCGAGCACAGGCTGCAGGGAGAGCCCATCCCCAGGGGCAGCCTGTGCCCCGAGGCGCCGCCCCGTTCTGTGATCAGTGGAAGCAGGGGTGAGCTTTGCGCAGCAAGGCTGCGAAGAAAGCCGAGCGGGCCGGCCCCCGCCCGCCAGCCGCGCCTGCGCGGTGCCGCCTCCTGGCAGAAGCACGCAGCGCTGCTCCGTGGTCGGCAGGCTTGCGGAGCCCAGGCCAAGGCAGGCTGCCGCGTGACCCCTTTCTTTTTCCTCCACCACAGCCCTTTTTTCCCGCCCCACCCCAGGCCGGCAGAGGGGCGAGGAGAGCGAGCACGTCCCTGGTCATCTGCGTTCAGGGGCTGGGTTTGGGGTGCTCCTTGCACGAGTGGCCTGTGGCTGTCATAACAAAGCAGCGCAAACTGGGTGGTTAGGACAGAAATGTATGGGCCCCCGTCCTGCAGGAAAGCGGCCCTCAGCGAAGGCGCGGGCAGGCCCTGAGCCCCGTAGGAGAAGGGCCGTGCACCCTGCCTCTTCCAGCCTCTGGAAGCCCCAGGCTCTTGGGACAGTGGCTTGGGGCAGTGTCACTGCCGTGTTCATGACGCCTTGCTCTGCACACCTGTCTCTGTGTTCACGCTGTCGGTTTTACAGAGGCCCTCACCCCGTAGCGCTGCGTGTGGCCGTGCTTTCCCCAGGCCTGGAGGCAGCGCCCTGCCAGGGCGGGAAGTGCGGGGCGGGCACACGCGCGTCCCCCTGGCCGTCGCCGCAGCGCTGGCGGGGGCGGAGAGTGTCGGACGTTGGGCTCCATGCCTCTGTGTATCTCACCTCCCCGAGGGACGGCGCTCAGGGGCTTCGTGGTCCTGCTGCTGCTTTGGTCGGGCGGGCGCGCCTTTCGAGGGCCTAATCGGGCTCACGCTCACTTGGCCGCGCGCCGACTTCGCAGCCCGCCCGGGGGCTCCTGTGGAAGCCCTGCCCAGCCAGGAGACGGGAGCGCGCGCGTCCGGTGGGAAGGGTGCAGAGGTCACACACTGCCTCGCGTCCTGTGCGGTCACCTCTTGTCACCAGATACGTTAAGAAAAGCTTTTATTATTTAGAGATCTTTGGATATCAGAATTGCAGATGACAGACTGTGGAGCGGTGTAAACTTGAACTTGCTCGTGTACTGCTGTGATGTTATTCTCTAGAATCTTCCTGGTGTACTTTCTGTTCCTAAGTAGGACGTCACCCTCTTCCTCATTCCTTCCACTGTCCCGATGAAAGGAGAGCCTGCAGCTTGGTCGGTCTGCCCCGTTACAAGTGACAGGGACGGTCAGTCTCCCAGGGAGGAGGTGGCCACTGGGGCCCACACGGCGGGGCTGGACGTCCCAAGGCCAGCTGGCTCCCCTGGGGCCCTGCAAACAGGGGAAGGAGCTCGCAGACGTCCCCCGTGGGGGACAGAGAGCGGTCAGCACGGTAACTGCGCCCCCACGGTCTGCCGGCCTCGCCCAGGCCCTGGCCGGGCTGCGCGGGCGGCCCTGGGCAGTCTGCACTGTCCTGAGGTTGCCGGGACATGCGGTCAGCCGGGCGGTGGTGTGTGTGGGGGTGGGGGTGCTGTGGGCTGAAAGGTGTCCCCCGGCAAAATTCAGCTGTCAAAGTCCTCGCCCTCGATGTGGCGGCGTTTGGAGGCGAGGCCTTGGGGAGGCGGTCAGGCGCAGGTGAGCTCTGGGGGCGGGCCCCTCTGATGGGGTGAGCGCGCTTACTGCGAGGAGGGGAGGGGGACAGCGCCTGCCTTTCCCGGGCCTGTGAGCACACAGCCAGGAGGCGGCCACCGGTCCGCAGCCGGAGCCCGACCGCGGTGTCACAGCGACAGGCCGGGGCTTGGGGCCCTGCCACCTCTCGGCGGGGGAGTCTGGGCATGCTGTTTAGCCTGGGTACGCCTCAGTTTGCTCGCCTGCGAAACGGGGAGAACTCAGGGTCCGAGGGTTTTTCCCAAACAGTAAACAAGACAAGTCAGACCATGTGCCCAGGGCACTGCCTGGTGCGTAATCAGGGCCTTGTCTGAGGGGTTGAGGCTTATAATTAACCCTCATTAATTTGAGAAAGTCAGGTACGGGTTTTACTGAGAGTGACATTTATTAGAATTTGAGGAGTTGGGGCCTGTCAGCCGCAGTGAGTAGAACGTTCTGCACAGGCAGACGGCGGGCTGCTTCCTGCCACCACCCTTTCTGCTGAGGAAGGCTGGTCGTTTTAGCAAAGAGAGTATAGCTTCTGTGCAGGCCCGGGGAGCGCCAGGGGCCTGGGCCTTCTGGGCTGGCGCGCGTCCTCAGCCAGGGCTGCGGAGCGTTCTGTGCTTGAGGCGGGAGGGACAGAGCCTGGCACAGCCGTCCAAGGGGCATCTGAGTTTGGCTCCAGCCAGGGGTGACCAGGCTCAGCGGGAGCCGAGTGTCCACGGTCCCGCGGAACGCCTGGCGCCCATCCGCGCCAGGTCCTGGGGAAGCGGGGCGGGAGGAGGCGGGCCTTCTGCCTGTTTCTCCCACTTCTTCTGTTCCAGGCCGTCCCAACTGTGGTCGCCAGGGACACATGGCCGTTGAGCAAAGGGAATCGAAGGAACGGAAAAAGACACCAGTTGCTCTCCGGATTTTTTTAAATCCACCAGGCCTGTGGCACCAACTGGTGTTGCAAAAACAGTTGCTGTTTTTCTAAAATCTGCTTCTTTCCCTCATCGAATGAGCTCAGGGCCGGCACCGGGAAGCAGGAGTGCATTTCTTCACTCAGCCCTTCCAGAAAAGCTCCTGAAGCACCAGCCCCTGCCCAGGGCTCGGTGTGCCCCAGGGGGTCACTTTCTTGGCGTGTGGACAGCAGCTAGAAAGAGGAGGTGATGACGGGGTCCTGGGTGGGCAGGCTGTGCTGGGGAAGGTTAAGAAGACCACGCCCGTGCGGTTGCAGCTCAGAGGCTGCAGTGGGGGCGCTGCCCAGCGCGTGGAGGGCTGGCAGGAGTGTGCCCGGCGAAGGGAGCGGTGAGGCCTGGAGGTGGGTGCGGGGACTTCCGCCCTCCTCCCTCCCCCGCCGCCCTCCCTTTCCCCGGCTCCCTCCCCTACGTCCTCTTGCCATTCTCCTTTCCCTCGCCCATCCATCAGTCATCGGATGTGGGCGCGGGGCCTCCTACACGCAGTGTCTCTGCTGGGCTCCCGCC